TGCCGTTGGAGACCAAGATAAGCAGTTACTCAGGTGTGTTCACATTAGACATGTTTGATGCTGACTTTTGCCGATTTAGCAAGATGAGCAGCTGTTCTTTGGGTGGGAGCTCAGCAAATTAAATTGCCTAGCATGCCTGCGGCCAGCATGAGCAGAGACACTGGAGAGAGGCATGATCTAACAGCTGAGCCTCCACGCACGTTTCACCTGGAACAGATCATGTTATATTAAGGAATGTCTCTGTGTTGACACACAAACACATGCACCTTGGTGGTGCTCTGCCTTCACACATCTGCATCCCCCTTTTTCCATGCAAGGCTCATGAGTAGGACTAGTCTCCCACTTTTTCAACATACCAGTTAAATAAACCCTGCAGGGAGCGTTGAAGCTAACGAAAAAGTTGGCACTTTCTAGCTTGAGCAGGGGTTTTCCAGGCTCCAGACTAAAGTTGAGGCAACAAGATCAGAGCTTCATTTGGTCCTAACATTAGTGCCATGGCTGCATGGATTCCTGAATTTAAGATTTCCAGTTCTCTGTTCTTCTAGGTAAAAGAATGAGACACCAGACACCCAACTCATGCAGAGGCACCTATATTAAATGCACAAATAGAAGTGTCTGAACCAGGAGCTAAACCTACCCAAAGCACAAACAAACGGTAGAATTTAGCGGCATGCAAAGCCAGTAATTTGATAAAAAAATTGGCAAGGGTCCCAAGGTGTTACACAGGCATAGACATAGATAAATGTCCAGAGGTAAAATTCATTACAGTGAAGACCAGGCAATTGCATTAAGTATTTTCTTTCCAGTCTTAACCTAATCAATCTTCTCTGAAACATCTGGATGGGACCTGATGATCCCCAGTTCTGACACTATCTGGGAGGTGCCTGTGTTCTTGAAAGGTCTTTTCTGGGGTCCCAGTGGCTGCTGATCTCCCTGTTGCCATTAACTGTGTGCCCCATGTCCCAAGAGATCATTTCAGAAATTAAAAATCTGGTATTGTTCTGATGAAATACACCCAAAGTCTCTGCCAAAGAGCCCTGGTGCTGGGGATGTCTGACTCTGTCTGGGGGACATCAGGGCAAACAGTCAGGTCACCGAGTCCTGGTACCTGGTGTGTCTCTGCTGAATGGCAGTACAAAGAGAAGAAAGTTGAAGCACCAAGAAAGCCCTTTCTGTATGTCCATATCATTTCCCGGGATGGCTGGGGTGTAGTGGGATGAATGTCAGGGTAGTAGGCACCCTGGGTAAGTGTGTTGTCCTGTTCTTACCTAGATCAGTGGAAATTTTCAGATAAGAAATTCAATATGGGAATGGGAAACTATTATGAGCTGTCTCATAAGGCACAGAAACTGTGAGTATTTCTCCCCAGGTGCAAGCCAGGTTAATACAATTTAATTATTCTGAGGGACAGACTCTTCCCAGCAGTCACTCCAAGTGCTTCAGGGAGGACAGTGCATGAACATTTCCTTCCAGAGGAATCCCAACCACAAGAGGACAACTCATAAAACAGCCCAACAGACACATACCACAAAACATCTTACTGAGATCCTGTCCTCCTCAGCTTTGAGCATCCTTAGCACTTGTTCCTTCCTTATATTTTTTGTATCTTCTCCTTGAGAAACTTCATCTTTTTGGACTCTTTTGGACAGTATATTTGAGCAGTTCGTGCCATCTAGTGGTGATACTGATTTCCCAATCTTGTTATTTTTACCGAAAAAAATTAAGCCGCATTTGATGGTTATGAGAGAATGGAAATAAGGGGTTACAAAATTAATGTTTAAATTCAATTCTGTTCTAAAGGACTTTTTCATCTCTTCAGACCAGCAGTGATTAACTTCTCCATCCAGGGTCCCAGATACATCCAGAAGCTTGATATTTTTGATGAGAGAGGGCTGGTCACTCAGAGCTAGGGACACGTACGTGAACAGAACTCAGACAGAAAACTCAATCCACCTAAGAGGGTGAGTAAACACTGAGTCCAAGGTATATAGTTAGATTGTCAGCCCCTTGACTACATGATTTAAAACCAGCCTGGATGTTTTACATACCACAGAGCTATAAGCCAACCTCCTGTCTGAAGCAGCATGCCTGGGATCTTCATGCTGAGATTCCCCTCTGCTCAAAAAAAGCCTGCAATGGTGATAAATGCCGAGCAGCTCACTCCAGGAGGTAGGATTCATTCGATGAAGCATAGATGTCCCCAGAGCTAGTGTTCTCCTCTGAGTCTGTGATTGGATTCCCTATATTGTACATGACATAAATTAGACCCAGCAAGGGCAGGATTCATCCCATCCGATGCTGCAGCAATTAATTACAAGTAAGCGCCATATGGTCAGAAAAAATATTTTTATTTCCATGGACTAAAAAAGGGAGACCAAGGTCTACAATCAGGTAATCCCATCCCTCATTATGGTTGACAGTTGGCTGAATATGAGCTGGCAGTGTGCCCAGGTGGCCAAGAAGGCCAATGGCATCCTGACTTGTATCAGAAATAGTGTAGCCAGCAGGACTAAGGTGATTGTCCTCCTGTATTCAGCACTGGTGAGGCCGCATTTCAAATAACTCTGTTCCATTTTGGGCCCCTCACTACAAGAAAGACATTGAGGTGCTGAAGAGGGTCCAAAGAAAAGCAGCAAAGCTGGCGAAGGGTCTAGAACACAAGTCTTATGAGGAGCAGCTGAGGGAACTGAGGTTGCTTACTCTGGAGAGAAGGACGCTCAGGGACACCTTATTGATCTCTACAACTGCCTGAAAGGAGGTTGTAGCAAGGTGGGGATTGATCTCTTCTCCCAAGTAACAAGTGATAGGACGAGAGGAAACAGCCTCAAGTTGCACCAGGGGAGGTTTAGATTGGATATCAGGAAAAATTTCTTCACCAAAAGGGTTGTCAAGCATTGGAACAGGCTGCCCAGGGAAAGGGTTGAGTCACCATCCCTGGAGGTATTTAAAAGATGTGTAGATGTGGCAGTTAGGGACGTGGTTTAGTGGTGGACTTGGCAGTGATAGATTTATGGTTGGACTTGATGATTTTAAGGGTCTTTTCCAACCTAAATGATTCTATTGATACTATGAGTATTGAAAAACCCTTATTCCATCCTCCCCATTTTCTTCCTGTACACTCAGCTCATCCACGCACATCACTTACTTCCACCTCCATGGGAAGCTGCAACACAGAAGATGATCTGCAGTAGCATAGGGGAGCGAAACACTGGCCAGGTTAAGCTATTTGGGCCTGAGGGATACAGAACTGCTTATCAAATGAACTCTGCATTCAGAAACTGTCTCTTCAGAAGAAGCAATGTTGCAGGCTCTACACATGCACCATCTGAGAGCTGAACCAGAGCTTAGGGAGAAAGTAAGGAATAGGTGATGTAGAAAACTGCTGTGTGGATGGATCAATGCAAAAGCAAGATGCATGTGCTGTGAAGGCTGTGTGCTAGTTTGAGTACAGCCTACAGGCTCCTAAGCTTACTAGAAAATCTGAAGGTCATCTTCAAGTTCAAGATCCAGGATTGCCCAAAGGATTGTGGGAGAGAGCAAATCAGGACTAATTATTCAATGCCTCTTCCATCATAACATCTGTGAAACAATATATGGAGCTATCATGTGACAGATTCACAGTGATCAAAAGGCCATGGTTCATTCTGTCTGTAGTTAAGGTGTGGAACTTCTCACAGGATGCTATAAATGTGAGTTTTTTATCCAATCTCTTCAGAGGAGATGATAAGTTTATGGAAAATAAATTAACTAAGAACTGCTAAACAAATGGAAACCATCTCCTATAGCTACAAGTGTCTGGATGCTAGGAGGGTATTTGGAAAATACCTTACATGCTTGCTCCGGTTCTTATTTTCTTTCTTAAGCACTTCTGGCAGCTCTGATATGTCAGTGAGATGAAAGGTCACAGTTCCGCTGGTATTTCTTCTGAATATCTGAACGTAACTTCAGGTCTCAGCCTGAGAGACAATCTATTGAAAAGACAGAGAAAGAATGTGTAACAGCAGACTGGTGCTTCAGAAATCTTTTCCTGAAACATCGCAATGTAACATAACATAGGGTAAGATAACAGAATATAATTAATATAGCTAATATAATTAATATAGCTAATATAATTAATATAGCTAATATAATTAATATAGCTAATATAATATAATATAATATAATATAATATAATATAATATAATATAATATAATATAATATAATATAATATAATCTTGTTTGTTGTTTTGTCCCTGTGTTCACCTAGTAATTCAGTCTTTTCAACTGGGATTGCTCAGATATCTGCAAATTTCCTTTCTTCCTGGAAGAGTGGAAGGGATACCCCACCTACTTTTACCAGAAACCCACTTCCTCCATTCTTTCCCCCCTTGTTTTTTTCTGCCTTACTTTATCCCATCTCTTGAAGTACCCAAAGAAGCAGGGAGGCCAAAACAGTTTCAGAAGCATCCAGGAGCTGTACCACATGCATCTAAAAATGCATCATGAAACATGCATCAGATGTTTTCACATTAATAACTTTGAAAAACTAGAACTATCCCACCACCAGCTATGATCCTTTCACAGCCAGAGTGGGAAAAGGGTGTTTGTGTGGGTCAAGATCCAATCCAAAGGTCTCTGCCAACCCCTGTGAGATGCCTGGGTGGGAGGGCCCTTGGAGGAGCACAGTGTTGCTGCCTCCATCGCTTGGAGAACCAGTCTTCACCTCACTTACTATAAACAAACAAGCTAGGAGTGAGTTCTTGCTTTGATCTTTTGAAGTTTTGGATACTCCAAGGTCTGTGCCTAGCAGGAAATTAGTCAAACATCATGGGAAGCTACAAAAGCAAGAAGTGAGCCTATCCAAGCCTGAGCTGTTATCGAGGGCAGAGGCGAGTGAAGACACTATTTGGATAACCCTTGCTCAGGCACCACAGCTCAGACTTGCGTTGCAAGGCAAATATTTACCTACGGCCTAAACAAAGTCAGCGTTTCAAAACTTTGTTCAAAATACTGCATAACCCTGAGATGTTTCCTTGAACTTGTCTCAGAGAAGGAAAGATCTTGTGCCTAGTACCTATGCGGGCTGATCTCAGGAGACAAGCAGAATGAAAATGAAGCATCTGATCTGCTTCCTGATTTTGTTCTTCATTTCTGGAGTAGGAAGCTTTGATCTTGTTATCGACGAAATCCCAGATGTGAGTATTTCAAGGCAAGGCCTAGGTCTCCCTTCCTTACTGAAATCAGTATTGAAGCTGCAGCTGGCTTCAGTGGGAGCAGAACTGGGTCACTGCTTCATAGCTCTGCTTGTATCTTATGATTCTATTCTACTTTTAGCTGTAAATGGGATTCTTCTGATAATTGGTTTTCACCTGTCATTCATAGTGCCGCTTTTTTATTATTAAGGTTGGGATAATATGGGCATAACTCCAAGTTTCTTTTCAAGCAGGTTTCTTATTTTTAGCTCAACTTTACCTTTTCAGGTGGTTTTACCTTAAACATTCCAATGGGCTTCTATGCTCAAGCCTTCAGCATATTTTATATCCTGTTTCCCTGGAATAAGCAGAAACAGAGCACCTAGATATCTTTGTGGATGGGGTCTCCTGTACAGACCACTATGAACTTCAGCAAAGCTTCACATGGACTCAGGGTTTTGTTAACAGGAGTTCAAATACGGAGTTAAGATCCTATTGATTGCTAAGTTTCCTTAGCAGAGGGATGAGATAATTTATAGAAGAGCTTGTAATTAGGATAATACAATGATGAGAAGTATAGTTATAGATTTGACTCTGAAACTGAGTCTAAATTTAAACCCCCGGACTCAGGTGAACTTAGATTTGGGTGTCTACACCCATTTCCACCTTGCCATATTGCAATATTTCGGTGAAGTCAGCAGGGATGGTGTGAAGCTTTCTTCTGCTTTGTAGCATTAACAAAAAGAATTTGTGAGCAGGAATATCCTCTTTTTCTTCTTACAGCACTTTTCATGACGCAGTGAGATTCTTGCACTGAGTTTGTAACTCCCAGGAAAAATATTCCAAACCTGTGGTCCTTTCTAACCATAGTTGTCATAGCAGTTTAACATCAGTGTACTTAAATAATTTAATTTTGTGCAAACCTTTGTGTGTATGCTATCATATAAATTGGAGAGCAACTCATGTACTTAAACTTCTTTATTGCCATAAATTAAATTTCTAAAAAATGTAGTTAGGAGTATTACTGTGGTGTAAAAAACATGCTACTAATTGAACCAGTGCAGCTTTGCACTTGGAAAAGACCTGATGTTCCATTGATGTCAGTGGGACAAATTTAGTTCTCAGGTATATTAGTATAAAATCAGAGAGAATTTCTACTGGTTTGAGCAGAAATTCTCTGAACTCGCTGGTTTAAGTGAGATCAGCATCTGAAGTGCTGTAGTTACCATGGCTAGACCCATCCTGATGATAATCTGCCTCTTGCTCTTTATGGTCATTTCAATATGTTAAATATTATTCCATTTTTCAGAAGGAAAGGTTGTAAAATGATAGCAAAGGTCATGATCTTACAAGAGTATATAGAGCTAGTTGGCCAGAGAGGGAAACTGAATGTGTGGAGATGCTGCATTTTGGTCTGAGATTGTTTGTTCCTCTGCTCCCCATTTGCACCAAGGGGAGGTAAATTCCCTTTGGAACTCTATTAGAGTGCTAATCAGTAATAAATCGAGTGACAAATCAAAGAGTAAGGAAGCATCAACACCTCTTTCTTTCTTCTTCTTTCTTCTCTAGGAAGTGGAGAACCTGATTGACCTAGAAATCGATGGAGTTCCTCCAAGCTCCAAGACGAGGAATGGCAGGTACCAGGTACAGTACTCAGAAATTATTCAAAAAAAGGGACTCAAGAATGCCTGGGAGCTCTCTCCAGGTGGCTTGTTCCACGTCAAGGGCTGTGACTGTGCAATCAGGTGGAACCAGCAGGTCTTTATACGCATTGAGACCTCCATATCTCTTGGTGGGATAAGAACTGCTACTACTCTTCATGCAGTACCTAGTACAACAAGGCTTTGTTCTATATGTGTGCTCCCAAGGACCATAACACAGATGCTGAACAACGGAGATACTTGTCTGTCTAACTTAACATGTGGGAAAAACCCCACTGATACTGGTGAGGCTTTTCCATGAGAAAATGGAAAAGGACTTCAGACACTGGTAATGCAGGTAGAAACCTTTCAGTCCTGCAGGCAGTCTATTCATTCATATTTAACTCGGGTCAAAAGAGTGCAGCAATGTGTCACATGGGTAATGAGCTGGTGAAGTCTGAGACCAGGGTAGAGAATTTATTTCCAGCATGCTGATGGGTTGCAGATTATTATAGTCTGTCAGCTTCTGAAGCAGAAACATTTAAAAGAGCATTGTGAGAGTTTTCTTGTATTTTACACAGTAGTAATTAACAATAATAATCATGAAGTCAGTTGTTCGAAGCTATTAATTTTTATTACACATCATGAAAGAAATTATGATCAGAGTGGACTTTGTCTTCTGCCAAGCTCTGGTACTTCCTTTCTTGAGCTTGTTCAATATAGTGAAAACAGAAGGTAAACACGATTCTTCCTTATCCTAAGGCTTTTTGAAAGGGGCCTCACACAGAGTGTAAATGTAACTTACTGACACCTAAAGCCCCCATTACACTGCTAGAAAAATGGAAGATTTTAGCATAAATACGGATCAAGCCAGCTCACATTTGCCAGACCAGTATTTAAATAATTTAATCATGATCTAAGCTGAAATCCTCTCTAGCTGCACTTCTTCAGGGCATCATTTCTTTCCAGCATGGCTATATTAATGCTATACATATTATATTGCTTCTGTTCCCCAACTTTCTGGATACACAGTGATATAGACATATGCATGCAGTAATTTGCAATTTTACTAGTGGTTTTATTATACCACTTATTCCTTATATTCCCAGATATTCTTTCCTACCCTTTACCTGTCAAATGAGTCTTTGCAAACCAGCAGGACTAACATGTCATCTATAGGATGAGCTAGCCTTATGTTAGTTGAATCACAATAAAATATTAATAAAGGAGATTAAACTGAAGTACATGAAACATCTTGAGTGAGTAGCTCTTGGTCAACAGCAGGCACACAGTTACTTACTGTGGATCACTAGAGGAAGTCTGGCTTCCAAATTATTGTTTTAGCACTATGTTTTTCTACAGTGAGGTCACTGGCCCATTGGCAACAAGACAACAGAAGTCCTCTGCAGACCCTACTGATTAGCTCTAAATAGAAAGAATTGGTTTGTAGGTCCAAGTAAGGTATTCTGGTGAAAAGTATTTGCTCCTGAGTTATTCTAAAAATACTGAGTCTCAGGTATGTGAACAGTTCTCGTGACCACAGAAGCAGAGCACCTCATGGGCTGGAATGTGGGTAACCTTGTGAGCCTCTGTGTGATGGTGCACTGCCATTATCTCTGTTTTGGAGATAGATCGTGGAACTTGTGTCTAGACTGTGAGGCAGGATGTTCTATAGCACATCCCCCAGTCCTGGTCCTGATCTCTGGCTGTCCAGAACCAGGTGAGATCATACCTAATTCCTTACTGCTCTGCCTACCTGGTTTCCTCTCCATGAGAACCCACACAGGAGGGAAATAGAGAAGGAGAGAGAGGGTGGAATCAGCTGGCTGGAGAGTCCTCCCAGCTCCCAGGGTATAAATGCAACCAGAAAGACCACAATTCATCTCCAACACCGTGAAGACAATGTCTGCCAAGACCTAGGTTTGAAATTGCTCTTCTTGCACCTCACAGTAAGAGTCATGACCCCCAAAAGAGACTGCACTGAAGTTTCAGTATGTTAAAATCTGCTTAGGAAATGGCTCACAGGAAACAAGTGAATCTATGAGAAAACAGCCCCTCAAAGAACAGGGAGGACATGCCAGGTAGATCTCATCCTCTTTCTAGTTTCTCATGCTGGTCATCTGATTTTCAACCTTTCCCTTAATCTACAGATTCTCATGACTTTCCCTAGGAATTTTCATGCCCTGGTAGAAGAGTAATTTTCTTGAAATGCAGTGTAAGAGCTCTGAATCTGCTTTCCTTGTTTTGCTAAGTCACACTTGAGAAGTAGCCTGTGGACTGCAACTTGAAAGCAATGGTAAGCTAGGCATCCCATAGATGACCTAAAACCTGCAACTCTTGTAATGCTTTACCACTTGCCATGCATTCCTCCCTTAGACACCAAGGCTTCTTCTTCCATAGACAGGACAGGAGGAATCAGGGTCAGCAGCTCTGGATAATAATTGAAGTACCCAATATTTTCTTGATGGTAGAGTGCGTAATAGTTGCAATAGTCATGCACAGTGATTTGAACAACAATCATTATAGAGGGTTAAATATCCATAGCCTGTACAGATGTCAGGAGAAGATAGGTCTCAGTACCTGAAGATAGGGCCCATCACCTATAAGCAGATTCTTAAAACAGTTCCTGAGGTGCTTGTCTCCACCCTAATCAGCAATTATCCACATGTTAGATAATTGCACAAGATACTGTTTCTAGGCAGTGGCCATCAGCAGATCTGAATGTGGTTTAAAGGCAAGGATCAGCTGTAAATCCCCATGCCAGAAATAGCACAAGTCTCACGTGCCACAAAAACCTATGTTCCCAGTAACCACACCAGTGCTCAGACCTGAAGTATAGTTATCTACAGCTCTGTCCTCCTGACCCGTTGGAGTGGCTGCCCTCTGCAACCTTTGACATCCTGGGGGGACGGTCGGCCCGCCCCATGTCTGATCTCTAACACCAGCAGTGGGAGTCATTACATCTGCAAGTGATAAGCTCACATCTCCATCAGTGCCTCTCTCTTCTCCTCCACCTTCACAAAAACAAACAGGAAGGAAATCTGGGCATCTTGAAAACTTTACACCATTCATAAAGTGAGACAGGAACCCTAAGCTCTTCCGAGAATCAGACAGGTATCACAACAAAACCAATCCCCTCTGTGCTACGGTCTTGGTCTTCATCTTTTCAAAATTAAAGGTTTCGGTTAAGGTTGGATTAGTCTTAATTTGTATTCATGCTGATGATATTTCCTATGCCAAGAGTATGTGTGGGGACAACAGTCATTCTTTATCAGATGTGAAGGGTCCGGTTCACTGTACAGTGATATCTGTGGGGTGTCAGGGTGGACTGAGCAAGGATCAGTCCATCAGGCTTTGCAGAGTGTCTCTGGAGCACCATAAACTTTCAGATCTGAAATCCCAGACTGAATGCTTCAGGTGGAGCCCGGACAGATAGTAAATAAACACCTACATTTGTTCTCAGCCAGGTGAAAATCCTTAGGAGCCTTAAAATTATCTCATTAAAATTATCTTTCTATGACATGTATCAGCTCTTACATTAATTAACTTCAAATGAACTTAGTAACTGTATAACAGGCCTTATATGCACCATATGACTAAGTTTTTGTGAGCATCTTCTGTGCTTTTGGGTCCTCTTGGATACAAGTGCTACTGAAACTTGAGATGAGATTGGTATGTTTCGGTACATTTTTATAATTAAAAGAATTCTTTCAACCAAATGAGGGTATCTATTTTCAGATGTAAGAGGTCACACCACTGGCTGTGAAGAGCTGAGCTTGCCTATTTGTGATGATAACACCAAAGTAGATATCTACATTAAACAATTGCCTCCCCCTAGAACTAGGTGAGCCAAATCCCATCGAGGATTAGATACAAAGTTAAATTTTAGGGAATTAAACAGAATGATTCAAATGGCCACAAGATGTCACCACTTCTTCATAGAAATTTCAAATGGAAATATTCCTAGGGCAGGGGGAAAAAAAAATCAACCATTAATGAGCAGTTTCAGCTCTTCTAAGCAGTGCAGACATAACTACCTTTGCATATGTACAAGTATATAAATGTAATATCGGTTACACAATAGGGTCTTTTATACATACATATTGCATATAATACAATAATATAAACATATATTCTATAATGTAAGTGAAAACAGAATGAGATAAAACAGTCTGGGTTTTGAGGTTTTCCACTTTTCCTAGCAAAATAGAGATTTTTTTCTGTTAAAAGCAAGGGTTTCTGATTAGGACTTCTTGTCAGCATGTTTTGCTTTCAGGAAATATATTTTTGTTCTAGAAGAGAATGTTTTCGATTAAAAAAATTTAAAAAACAGGGGAAGAGAGATCATCCCGTGTATAAATACATAAAATAAGACAAAAGGATTATGCACACGAAGCCTGAGAACTCAAACCAATTTTCATCATCTGGGAAAGCAGCTTTTAGATGTTACCACGGTTTGATCCCTGCCTTGAAACAGCCACAATCTGAAATACAGCTTTGCTGAAATACGTTCTCCATATTTTTCTCTTCCAGCGAAGTACATCTGACTGGGGGTATGTTGGAGACCTGGTGAGTTTTTTTCTTCCTCTGTAGAAAATAATATTGAACAAAGTGATTTTCTAGTTAACCATTTTTTGGAAATCAATCCTTTTGTTTGTTCAGTTCCTTGTTTTTACTGCTGGTTGGGTATTAACCTATTTTCTTTAAACAAAGCACTGTTTGCACAACGCTGTTTGTACAACTGCTCTTGGAGAGAGAAGGGTATGGTAAATATGAAGAAATAAGCATCAAAAATGATTAGACGAAGACAATATCTTAATATACCTGTTTAATACTGTTCTCCCACTGCCATGGTTTAACCATTTACAAGACTATGTTGGTACCAGTGCTGTAGGTCTCCTTTATTTAGGACTTTTATTTAAAACATAAGCTCTCCCCTCCTGAGTATATGATGCTGAAGATTACTGTGTGTCCTTCTCTGCTGAATTGAACCAATAGAGTCATTTCAAGGACTGATTGCGTGGTCAAAATCAAGGAAAACATTCCAGCTTAATAAATTCCTTCTTTCAGCTGAAATGTTCTAATGAACTGTATTCACATGAGTATCCTGCCATATTGCTGGGTAAAATATGGAGGTGTCCTGAACTTCAGTTTATGTGCCATCTAGCTGCCATATTGTAAGGAATAGCAGTTGAAAAAGAGGAACTGAGACTATAAAAGGGGTTGATACTGCACTCTAGGGCACATTTTATAGATGTGTCCTAAATTTATACAGTAATTTTGTCCATTACAGGTGGAGGATGATGACAAGATAGGTCTTTACAGCTACAAAGTTCAATCCACTATAACGTCACGGTTGGCCAACACAATGATCCAAGCCAAAATGGTGAATAATGCAAAACGGTCCCAGCACATAGTGTTTGATGTACAAGTCCCCAAAGGAGCTTTTATTGACAACTTTACTATGTAAGTAGTGGGCAGCTATCACTCTTGTGCTCTGGCAGTGTTCAGTGTGGTGGCCGAATGTGGTGGGAGGGAATTATTTGTAAAAGCAAAACATCTCATTATTTTCCAGGTTCAGTGTCATTTTAGCAGGCTTTCTCCAGGAAAAAAGGCTCGTGTCATCATACTGTCTGTCTGTCCGTCTCTTCCTCTCCAGTAATTATTGGGCCATTGGCCAACATCAACAAAATTTGACAAAAGGACAGAAGTCTGGAATAGACTAAGCTCCTACCTGTCTGGTGCATGCTAGCACCAGACTGAAGGAGAGAGACCCAAATTAGAGCCCTCACTGAACAGAAAGGAACTCAGTATACATTCAGAGAGGCAGCAGCCAGTTTGCTGGTCAGAAGACATGTCCTGATACGTGTTCCAAAACAGCCATGACATTAGTAACTGCCTGCTCTGCACAAAGAATAGGGAAAGGGTGAAGGAGTTAAGGGAGAGCAGATCCTCCTCAGAGTACAAGAGTGCTGGCTACTTGAAATAAAAAAAAAGCAGGTAGGAAAAAAAGATACAAATCTAGTGGAAACCAAACTTCATTACTTCGGGGTTAAACAAGAGCCTTATTATTTCATTTCCCACTAGTTTAGATTTCACTGATGTTTTTCTAAAGCGAAGAAACAGTCATCAATTGTAAAGTTGTTTCTTTTGCAAACTGACTGTGATTCTCTTTCTCCTAGGGATGTCAATGGTATAACATTTACCAGCAAAATTCGGGAAAAATCTGAAGCCAGAAAAATGTACTCTCAAGCAAAAGCCAAAGGCAAAGCTGCTGGAATAGTAAGGTATGAAGACTTTGGCATGTGGGTGTTGTGCTGAACGTATTCATAGGAGAAGAGACCCATCCCAGGAGGAGATAGATGAGGGAGGAACCCTAGGAAGGAAAATGGGTTGCTTATTTACAGCCGTTCTGATATTTATTTATCAAGGACTAAATTTGGGTTTCTGCTTTCAGCTTGACAAAACATACTGTGCTAACAGAAAACTGCTGTTCCCTGATATAGGCTACAGTTAGAACCAGACCCAGCAAATGCAAAGAAACTCTCTTTCTCCTTGTATTTTCTCAAAATAACTCCACAACTGACTTTTCAGGAGCAATGCCTTGGATATGGAAAACTTCCAAACCGAAGTGAATGTGCCCCCAGGGACGAGGATCCAGTTTGAACTTCACTACCATGAAATGATTCGGAGGAAACTGAGCTCTTACGAGCACATCATCTCAGTGAAGCCAGGACGTTTGGCAAAGCACATGGAGGTAAAATAGAGCTGGTGTGTTTAGGCAGCACCCCACAGGTGAATCCTCACTGAGAAAGCAGCCAAGGTTCCTACAAGCCCTGCAGCAGAACCATTCATCTGCAGCTCCTTCCTTTCATATGGGCTTGGTACAAATAACCTCGAGGTCACTGTGTAGACCAGCATGAAACACATTAAACGAGGAGCTCTGCAGCTACATGAGTGAGGAGCAAATGTGTCCTGCCTCCTCTTGTACTAACACAGTTGGGCACCTCCTGAATCGTGACTGACTCACGTCAGACCCACTTGGGCAAACAAGCTTTGGCCTATATATACCCTTGTGTAAACTTGCCTTGACTGAAGGAAAACAAACAATGCTTGCTATTTATTTGGAACAGTGCTTTTCACAATAATCCCAACTTCATGAGATAGTGTCCTGTGAGAGCAGATGTTCTCTGATTGACAGACCCTCCACAACTGTCTGCCAGAAGATCATCTGTCTTATTGTTACCCTCTTACACTCATCCAAAGGTGTCCTCTGTCATCCATCAAGTCACAAGATATAGGGATAGCTGGACATTTCCACCTGGCCATTCTTGTGTTCCTGTTTCATAAATGTCTTCTTCAGCTTTCCATGGCTTCACCACAAGGTGTATATGAAATTTTGCTGCTCCTGTTTCCCCGATGCAGGCTGTGACCTGCTTCAAGCTGTCCAAAGGCCTGAGTTAGTCCTACTGAAAGGGACGCTGTGTCCTGCCTCCTAGTATTACTGACTATTCAAAACACAGTCAGAAAAAGGCTTTATCCCAAGCTGACAGGACAAAACCTTTATTTTCCAAATCACCTTGGCCATCCGAACAAAAGGAAGAATGTTCTCTGTCCTGTCAATAACATAGGTAGAGAGGGAGAGGACTCATCACTGACTGTTCCTCCTGGCCTCCTCACCCAAAGCAGCACTGAAGCAGAGTCACTTCATGCTTCTGTCCTGCTTTCAGTGTAAACAATGGTATTACTCTTGACTCCTATCCCACCACTTGCCCCAGGGTGTAAGAGAGAGAGCAGGAAAGAACATTTATGACAAATTCTTTCTATTCTTTGGGCACTTTTTTTTTTTTTTTTTTCCTTCGTTGCATTGTGGTCTATTTTTACCATTGCATGGATCCCCACCACGAATGAGACTAGCCCTACTGGAGCGTTCTTAAAGGCAACCCGTTCCCCAGATGGAGCTTGCCTGTGGAGAGTTCATAAGATCCTGGTATAACACTGGCACTGCTCTATACTAAATGTCCTCCCTCCTGCCTTTAGGTGGATGTTCGCATTATTGAGCCGCAGGGACTTCGCTATGTGCATGTTCCTAATTCCCTCGGAGATCATTTTGATGGAATCACCACCATCTCCAAGGGAGAGAAAAAGGTAACACTCACAGACTGGAAATAGCATGAAAACATCAGTTTTCACATTTGTTCCTATGCAGTCATGACATTTTTTCATACCCACCGGAAACATGCAAAAATATGGCAAAAGAAATACAGTGTCTTCATTACTGATACCTAAATTTATGTACAAGATGATCAAATACTACAGTCACAGCAGTATAGAAATAGTGTGTAGTCTGTCCATCTTTGTGCTAAGCTTTCAATTTGTAATTCTGAAACTGAGATTACTGGGTGTGGAAAAGGTGGGTGATGAATATCAAGTGGAATAAGAGCTCTAGAATAACTCCACAGTCTCAGTTTCAACTGAGAATATCTGCACAGGGATTTGTTTTAGAACTGCCCTTTTCCGTAACATTCTTACCCTAGCTTTCTCCAGCATAGATATCGGGTATAAGTAAACCCTCTGACAGTGGAGCAGTTTTTCTCAAGAAAGTTCAAGCAATGACTCTGGGAGGGTACAACTCTTTTCACTCTTACATAGACATCTAACACAGGATATGTGAATCAGGCCCAGAAAGTCTGTCTATACTGCTATAATAATATATCAGGAAATATTGTTTCCTGATATCGAGGCTCAACTTTATGTCTCATTCACCCACATTCCTAGTTTAGCAAGTTATTTCAGAGGTATTGTGTGGCTATAGATGTTATGTCTTATCTTCTCTTGGAAATTATCTTGGAAATTCCAAGTTATTCAGTCAAAGCAGAGAAATAATGCCATAAATTCTGCATAACTGATCACATGACTAATGCAAATGATTTCTAGTACTCAATTCACAGACAAATTACAAGCTCTTGTTTGTCTGGGGGAAAAAAAAATCAATGAAAAAGCTATTAAAAATGTTGATAAAATTGTGGACACTTTCAACTAGGAAAATGTTAAATAAGCCAACATATTACTTGCTAGAAATGGTTTGCACAGCTCTAATTTGAAATATTTGGTGCTGTAGATAGGTCATCTTATTTGTGTCACGGTTGCTACTACTTATTTGCTATACACAGTTGCATATCCAGTCAAACCTTAGTGCTGATTTTCTTTTTAAGTGACCAAGTCCATTTTCCACTTAAACAAGAGTATGAATAAAGAAGGAAAGTGTTCAGTGAAATATATTTCATGACTAGATGAACTCTTTGCGTTTCAATGATCCACCTTTCTCACAACATCTGATTGACTGATGATCACTTCTTATTTCAAGGCTCATGTTTCTTTCAAGCCAACGATGGCTCAACAACGAAAATGCCCCACGTGCTCATCCACAGCAGTAGATGGAAATTTTGTGGTGCAATATGATGTGAACAGAGAAACCACAGGTGGAGAATTGGAAGTAAGCGTTGCTGTTTAACTGGGACGGGAGATCTGTGAATACAAGAATTGCTGTCGTTAAGCAAACTGTGCTAAATAAACTTAATAATTCAGAAGAATAAAGATGAGAAAGAGTTCTGTATCCAATTGAAAGAGCATAGAGATTTTAAGTGGGCAGAATGGATTTGCTTAATTTATGAGTAAAATGTGGTCCTATATATAGACCGGAGCAGATTCCTGTCTTGTCCAAAAGCCAATATCTTTTATACCTAGCAGCACTCTGGTGATTTAATGTTGAATCAGAGTCATTGGATGTTGTACCAATACATCACAAGGAGACAACCAGAACATCACTATTTTTATGTTAACATGAAGCAGAGTTATGGAGTTGAATTATCACAGACAGAACAGTCTTTTTAAAAACATTTTTCATTCCTCCTTATGCTAGTCCATGGCACTTGTCTGAGAAACAGCCTCTGCTTTCCTTGATAAAAAGTAAAGACTGTAGTATGGAGTATAGGTGGTGTAAGGCTACAAAGAAGTGCAGAGATGAAAGTTAGATTTGGCCCATAAAGAAGAATAACATTTTCTACTCTGTTATTCTCTTGAGTTTTTTGACATTTTCACTATAGCTCACTTCACTGTGACTTTTTTATTTTATTTTGCAGATTTTTAATGGCTATTTTATTCACTTCTTTGCTCCGGAAAATCTTGATCCTCTGCCCAAAAACATTTTATTTGTTATAGATGTCAGTGGCTCGATGTGGGGACTGAAAATGAAACAAGTAAGTGTTTGACCTCTATTGAAAAATGAACTCCTGCCAACTTTTCCCATGTGCCTTGCTATACACTTCTGTAACAGACTGAGGCTCAGAATTATCAGTTTAGTTCTTTACACTTTACTCCATCAAAAGTCTCAGTGAAGTTGAAGAATATTTGGTGACTTCATGATTTTACTTTTTATTTGTAATGCTCCTTCCACGATGTAAGGAAGAGGTGTTGCCATCAGAATATGGATTTTAACTCTGAATTAAAATTTTAATTGACAGATCACAAAACATTTTTGCAAAGGCTCTGGCCCCCTTTTTCTGTAAATTCCTCTACTGAATCCTGAGAAAGTGTCAGTGAGGATACTACATCCCTGCTTTCAAACAGTTGTGGACAGTCCACTGAAGATCAGGGAGGGGGAGAGCAGAAAATATAAAAAATAAGATGTTTTAGTCTACAAAGGAAAAGACTTGGAGAGCCATAATCAGCCTCCAAATATGCAAATGATTGTTCTAAAAGGAAAACTCATTAGCTGACATTCATGCCCACCCAGGGTGGAATAAGATGGAATCAGGTGGATTTACAGCAGGAGAGATTTATCTTAGATATTAGCAAAAACTCTGTAGTGCTGAGAGGAGAGTTCAGGAGATTGTAGGTCTTGTGTCACTGAAAGTTTTTAAGAACTAGCTAGACAAACATCTGTTGGGAATGATCTAGGTATATTTGAAGTTGCTTCAGAGCACAATACTGAGGCTTGGCAGATTGCTCCCTTGGGAAGATCAATGCTGCAAAACTGGGATACAGGTTAATTGTCACTTGTTTAAATCACACATCTTCAAACAGATGTTACCCAGCCTGAAATGACAACACTAAGCACTGCAGGCAGCTAAGTCTCCTGAGCTGATACGAGCAATTCCTCTCTTCTGAACCACAGTGTCTCACAAACTGCTTCTCTCTCTCACCCCACTCTGTGTTAGCAGGAGTTAAGCAAGGATGGCTTGGGTCACATGACTTTGTTCTTGCTAATCGCATTTTTTCTGTGTTTCTTTGGTGAAAGGTCCAGCTTTATGCAAGAAGTGCAAAAAAAGGGGAGATTTGGATAGCAGATGCTCTTTTGGATTCCAGTGCTCCTGATCTTATTCATCAGAGGCATCTGTTTGCCTGTAGTCACAATTTAAGAAGATGTTTACAGCCACAGAAAGCATAAACTCATCTTCTCTTAAATTTCTTCTTCTCAGACCATCGAGGCCATGAAGGCAATATTGAGTGAGCTCCGTGCTGCTGATCAGTTCTCCCTTATTGACTTCAACCACAATGTCCGATGCTGGAGAGACAATCTAGTCTCAGCCACCCCAGCCCAGGTTGAAGATGCTAAGAAGTACATCCAGACAATCCATCCCAACGGGGGTATGAGGTTTTGATTGCAAAGGTGCTCATGGAAGTTGGCTATCACAGGAACCTCAGACAACCTTCAGATTGGCAGAGTATTCCTAACAAAAAATCTGATTCCTAAGATGGGAAAAGGATGCCCTGGGGCTAAAGGAGAGCAAGGATTCTGGTTTATTGTGATAGGGAATGGGATGTCCTTCTACTGAATAAGCTATGACAGATGGAACACAGACCATAGAACAGCTGCCTTTATAGGTTCTACCTCCAGCCTCACAGATCCCAAATAGCCTTGAAAGACCAAGGCTGTCTCATGCCTTTGTAAAGCAGATCATAAGCAGCCCAACTCCAGGGTCTCCACTGGCTGTATACTGTAGGATACACCCTGATCTACTAAATGACACCCTGGGCAAACTTCATCCTTTTTGTGCCTTCATTCCATGTCTGATAAACAAGGACAGATGCCTTTTTCAGCCTTACAGCATTTTGGGTGCTGGTGCTTCATTTGTTAGTGTTTGAGCTATTTGTACAGACTCATGACCATTTTAATCCATTGCTCTCTGAAGTGCAGTTCTGGTTTAGTTGTTCAGTTATTTGTGCACCAATAGTGTGTAGAGGCTCTCCCCAGTGTCAGAGCCTTCTGGTGCTGTGGCTGCTGGCTTCATTTCCAGAATATTTCACTGGCAACACGTAAGGTAGAATCAACCTAAGGTTACAGACTTGTCCAAGATCATCAGTGTGTTGGGAATAGGAAACCATGTTAGATATGAGTGGCTCATAAGCCTGATTTTGTTACCCCAAAAGAATTGATAGATAGGCTAGGAGACCTGCTCCTGTCCAGCAAAGCCAGTTTGCAATGAAACACTTTATTATCCTGTCTCTGGAGCCACTACATTTTTTTATTTCTTGATAGAGAACCTATTTTATGACTGCTCAGCCTTTCCGCTCTTGTTCCTCTCATACTAATTTCTTACTCTGTCCTTTCTGTGCCACAAGCCAAACCTTACTTCTTCTTTTCCAATCAAGATGTCCAGGGAACAGACTGATACCAGCAAAAAAAGTTTCTTCATGTTCTCATTCAATCATCTGCCTGCAAACGCACTACTTCTTCCCCCAGCAAATAGTTTCCAATGCCACAAATGGTCCCACTGGAATTAGTGAGGGGGGATAGGGGGGGCATATGAAGAGGACAGGCTGGGATGAAAAAAGGAACCAGAGAACAAGCAGATGTACTGTAAGCACCACAGAGGAGAAGTTTTGCTGCTTTGATCTCAGGTCATGTCTATGCTCATTAATTCCACTAGAATCTCAGAACTGATCTGGGTTCAACAAGAGACTCAACAAGAATCAAACTTGTTTTCTTCATTGTGTCTTTGACAGGCACAAATATCAATGAAGCTCTTCTCCGAGCCACATTCATCCTGAATGAAGCCCAAAACTTAGGCATGTTGGACCCTAACTCAGTCTCCATGATCGTATTGGTGTCTGATGGAGACCCAACAGTAGGTGAGTACCCTGCTTTAGGAGAGAAGAAAGGCCAGTGGGATTAGCCTGAGAAAAGTGTTCAACATGTAGACATTTTGACAGTAAGATTAAAAATTCTATTCCTCTTTCTTCCAATGCCTGTGCCGCTCTTTTGCCAAGTGCTGTAGGTACCACGGAGCTTTGCACAGAAGCTTTGAATAGATGAACAGATTGGTTTATGTAAGTTATGTACTTCTTGCCATTAAAGAGATGCACAAGTTCTGTAGGAGAGCTAATCACAACCATAAAAATATTTCCTCTTCCAATGACCTTAGCCCACACAGATCTATGCAGTCCCAAGTGTAACATCAAAATCAGGAAAACAATGTAGAAAGCAAATTAATTTGGATTGGGTTTGGTACAGGTCAAAAACAATTGCTTACTGCAAGATGCCAGCTCAGGAGAGGCTGCCATTTAAAACAAGTCTGAAAAAAAAAGTCCCAATGGTGGCAGAGAACATTTTAAGCACAATAAACGAAGTAAAGCCTTTATGGAGATGTCTTAGTCTGCAGAAAGGTTGAAGCAGTAATTCTGCGAGAAGTCTAGATGTGTTGCAATTACAAACTCCTCAGGAAGTTAGTAAGACCCCTGGATAGACAGAAGATATGCATCAGATACAAAAAAAAGAGTTCAAAGGAGTCTTCTTCAGTGGAAACAGTTTGCTAATGTCCATCCAGAAGAAGCTCAAATGTCACAGTAGGCACTGCAAAATGGAGATTTGGCATCTGAGCTAGCTGTTGAGATTTCCCTTAGATTAAATGAGAACCAGAGACACTGGACGGGCATGAATGCGCTTACCTTGATGGAGACCTCCCCCATTGCTCAGATGGATGTGACCCTTTGTGTGTCTCCAAGGTGAGCTAAAGCTGACGACGATCCAGAAGAATGTGAAGCAGAGCATAAAGGATGAATACTCTCTCTTCTGCCTCGGGATTGGGTTTGATGTAGATTACGATTTCCTGCAGAGAATCGCGACTGACAACCGCGGCATGGCCCAGAGGATTTTTGGAAATCAGGAGACTTCTGCCCAAATGAAGGTGTGTTTCTGGCCCATTGCTGCTGAAACTATCCCATTCCGTTTACAGCTGTGGAGCTGGGTAACTCTACCAGCAAGAGTAGAGTTGCTGTAGGTTCATAGCTGGGGTCACAAAAAGCATCATTTCTTCTGGAGAGTCCTGTGAGAAGACAGTCATGTATTAGCTTAAGTGCTCCAAGTCATAATTATGTAGTATCTATAATACATACTTTACTGCTCTGTGTAGGATTAATATTCTACAAAACAGTCCTAACCATAAAAAAATATTTTCTAAATTAAAATTAAGGCCTGGATTTTACCTCAGGCCACTTCAGCACTAACAAAAGGCATAGGTATAAATGCTAAATGCTAAACTGTGAAAGTATAAGAAAATGTTCAATTCTAGGAGGCTCTGGCTCCAACTCTGTGAGCAGCAATTGCCGATGAACAAACTCTTACATCCTTATCCTGTTTCTATTCACTGGTTTCATCACTTATGCAGGCTTCTCATACTTCTTTCCCAACACAGGTGTGATAGGACACACGCAGATGTGCTAGGAGACACTACCTGCTGTTCTGCCAAAGAGAGCAGCTCTGGGAGCGCAGCCCCTCAGTATGAGAGAGCCTCCATCCATAGCACTATAGGGGTACCTGTTTTCCTTCTCTGGTCCCATTATGCTAAACCCAGCTGTGGACACATCCCTGTTCACATGAGCCAGGTACAACAGGGTCAGCCTACAGCACAGAAGCAAATGCAAGTGAGAGGTAGGTCTAGTTTCTGGCAAGAATTAGTTGGCAAGCAGCTGTCTGTTTTACACAGCAGCCAAGAGCTGACCAACCTGATAACAGATTCAGGCCCATATGCACCTGTGCTCAAGCCTTTTAGGCCTAGGAACACAGCCCATGGGCTTCTGAGTATCCTTGGACTTGGAACAAATTGTCTTATTACCGCCTTGGAAGTGTACTAAGGTCTAAGTATAAAAAAGTCCATGTTCTCTGGGACAAAGAAAGTCCCACTTGTCCTTTAGGGCTCCGAGTTTTGTCACCTGCTGTCCTTTCAGTAAGATTGGTGCAGGTTGTTTCACATGCAACAGACTCACTTCTCTGTCTCCTTCCATCTCAGAATTTCTACAACCAGGTCTCCACCCCACTCTTGAAGAAGATTCAGTTCAACTACCCCCAGGAGTCAGTGTCAGACGTCACCCAGAGCAGCTTCCACAACTACTTTGGTGGCTCGGAGATAGTAGTAGCTGGGAAGGTGGACACAGAAAACCTGCAGCACTTGGAAAGCGTTGTCACAGCGACAGCAGTGAGTGAGGGTCTCCTTGGGATACCTGCTCCTGGGGGGTTGGGGTGGTTCATTCACTCGAGGGTACAGTCTCCTTGCTGGAGGTCATTGCCAGTGGAGTGTTTTGTCTGCTTGGGTTTGGGCGGGAGCGTGGGGAAGCTCACAGGGGGTTTGTCCAACAACGTTTCACAACAGCTTCAAGTACAGCCACGTATAGTCACTCCCTGCATCCCGCAGCCTGCCAGAGGAACTTCCTTCTAATAAATGTACCGTACAGAATTCAACTGCAAACCAGACTAAGCCCTCTTCCACGCTTTGTGAAGGTTCAGGGGAGATCCGCTAAGGTAGCTCCTTTCATGGATGAACCTCCCACTATTGGGGAGTTCAGACTGGTGGGTCTACAGTGTGGCAACTCCTAGCACTGTCCTTTTATGCTTTGCCTTGTGGCATGTGTGATGAGACTTTGCCCATGTTTCAGGGCTGCTCTTCCAGGCGGAGTGGGATGGAGTGGGAATGCTACATCTAGATCCTTCTTTCTGAGGAGGAACAGAAACATCCACACTCTTACAGAGCTTAGGAGCTGCCATTTGTTATTTGCTGGAAAAAAATCAGGCATGTTCAATATTCTTTCCTGCCAAAACCCAGTGCAGTCCAAGGGCCTGTGGGAGAATGAGGAATTTGGTTCATGTTCCTCAGTAGGAATTGGACGTGAAAAGGTCTGATGGGATGATAGCAGAGCTCTGCTAAGAGCCTCTTCTTTTGGCATGAAGTAGCACCCTCTGGCTACTGCTGACAGCTCCTTTACCTATTTTAACCCAGTGTCACAAAAGTGTGTTTAACAGAAGACCCTCTTGCTACAGCTCCCCTCCTCATGGCAGTCAGGCCAATGGTGCTGGGACTTTGTGATCTAGAAGTGCCCATGGGCAGAGCCAGACTGGGTCCTTAGTGCCGACCATGCTAAGAGGGGAACTCAAAGCCACCCCATTCTCCTGGCTCATCCTCTGTTATCTTTATCTCTCATTGATTGCATAGGCAAATGCAGAGCTCGTCATGGAAACCCTGCGAGATGTTGAAGAACTGGATGGCTTCATGAAGAAAGACAAATACGCAGATCCTGATTTCACTAGGAAGCTGTGGGCCTATCTGACTGTCAACCAGATGATGGCAGAGAGGTGAGGAGAAACGCAGTCTGTGATGGGAGGGAAGAGAAACCTGAGAGCAATCTGGTTCTCGATGAGACCACAGCTGTCAGGCTGCCCTCAGGGTGTCAGATGGGTAAGGTAAACAAATCCAAATAGGTAGCTGATACCTTCAGACACATTCCTCCTATTTTTAGCACTTACAGATATCAGGGAATAGAGTTTGGGAGCAGTTAATCAGAGGAATAAGGCTCAAACAGACCTGGCTGTGGGGCTGTGAATGAAATGAATGGGGCATTTGCCTTACAGAGCCTGAGTAAAATCTATGGAGCGATTCAGGATTATTCCCCTCCGAAGCAGAAAGAGATCTCCTGCTGAGACCAGGAGATGGACTGGGCTTCTCTGAGTCCAGGCCAAAGCCCATAGAAGCCAAAACTAGTCTTCTCATGGAGAGTACATTCAGCCCTCTGCAAAGGCCCTCAGCCTTTCCTTCTTGCAACACCTACTAGTTTGTCTCTAAGGCTGCTCTGTGGAGGACTTGTCATGGCTGCTGCCCTGTAGAGCTGCTAACCATGCCTTCTGTTTCTTTTCCCACCCAGAAACACAGCCCCCACTGCAGCTTTGAAGAGGAACATCACCAAATCCATCCTACAGATGTCTCTTGACCATCATATTGTTACCCCCTTCACATCCATGCTGATAGAGAACGCCGAAAAGGATGAGATAATGCTGGCAGACCAGCCCAAAGACCCCAGAAGGGGCTGCTGCCCAGGTCAGCGTCTCAGTCTGTCCATTACTCTCTAGCTCTTATTTTGGCTTCATTCTTCTGTTGGAAGAACCGCTCTGTTCATTGTTCACTCCAAGTGTTTGTGCTTATAGGATAACCTTTCATTTCACTGAAAGCTGACCAAATCTTCAGCCAGTTTGAGAGCATTCTGTTACGCAAGTGCTCTTTGTAGCCACTGGCTTCAGTGAGGACTGAATGTGCCAACATTGCAGTGTCGAGGTTTCCAATAAGCCTACAGTGTCACAGACTGAACATCTTGCTGGGACAGATATGTCTAGTTCCCTGCACCGCAGCTGTAGCATTGACTAAACTGTATTTTATCACCACTTTCAAGCCTTGGAAGCTTCCTAAGATTGTTATCCATCAGCCACAAGCCCGCATGGAATCTGAGCTGTCGTAACAACAGAGTCCCTCGTTAATTAAACTTCCAGATTTAAATCCCTCACTTCAGTACGTGTTCCAAGGTCCCTGTCACAGAAACCTTATGTCCAGCCAGATGAGGCAGGGTTGGCTTGTTCTGGCATGATATGGTAGAGTCAGTCTCAAAGCAATAGCTGTTGGCATTCGTGGGCGTCTCTCATATCCAGAATCATCCCTGCACAGCCACGGGCTTCCAATGACACTTAACAGCGACGATTTTGCCCCCTCACCAGTCAGTGATTTGAAAAAGCACGAAGGACAGGTAAAGGCTGACAGTGGGATGCAGTGGAAGTGCTGGAAGTAAAAGATCAAGTCCTTGAACAACTGAGTCTGGTGATTTAAAACCTATTAATAAATGGGAGATTTTACAATTGATGAAAAGAAGCAACCTACTTTACACCAACGGACATCATCCATCTGGCATTTCACACTGGAAGTGATTGGGACTTTGCTGAAACTCCAAGCATGTGTTCTGCATGCTCAGTTCTCATGCTCTTATGTCTGATTCTTATGTCTGTCAGTTGTTATTTTTAGGTTCATTTATTCTTCTTTTCAATTTTAAAGTCTTCAGCTGAGACCCAAGGAGAAATGAAATAGTTGGGTTTTGTACTGCATATTACAACTCGCAACCTTCAGCACAGAAATAGCATGTATTGCATTCATGTATAATGATCTCATAATACATGGCACCAGCTGACTAATTCAGACCATAATTATCTAGATTTAGGTGATGCAGAGGTTTTAAGTGATTTAAATATAGGTTCTTGTGTCTTTGTTTTTGATGGAATAGTCAAAACTTAGCACTGAAATCAGGGTTGAGGCATCTGTAGATTTCAGGGGGAGTGGGACGTGACTCTTGAAGCTTAGCAGAGGACAGAACTCGCTTGTAAAAATAATATCAAAGTAAATCTGCTTAGGATTGTGCAATACATCTAAAAAGTTTGCATATACAAGGCACAGAATGGGTAATCTGAAACAGATTTTTCTCTCTGTTCTTACACAACTCTTATCAGAGCTGCATGGTCTGTCTTTGTAGACAGAGACTGTGTCTTCCATTGAAATCACTCACTTTTCAAAGGACTGACTAATTATTCTTTTATCATGGCAGATTTATTGCAAAACCAGACTGTGCATGGGAGATCTTCTTCATGCATAATAGTCTGTGAAATTAATAGGACCCAGAAACTCGGAACTCTGTCCAGTTTCTAGTTCCTTTCTTACCTCCATTGACTTCACGTATGCCATGTCCTGCTTCAGCTCTTGTCATCTTCAGTCCAACATATTAAACAAACCAAGTTTCACAGATCATTTAAGATCATATTGCTTTATGAACTAAGTGGGAGAGAGAGGACGTGTTACTTTCACCCACTTCCATCGTGGCAAAGGCAGAGACATTTAGCAGAAGGGGACGTGTTAAAGGCTGTTATATTAAATGCTTGCACTTATTTGCAACCTTTATTCATGTGGGTCATCCTAGGGCGTGCAGAAAGAGTCTTACCTTTTCTCAGGCTCCTCAAACTGGGGATCCAAGCCAGCAAAGATTTTACCACATGTTAAATTTTTAAAAATTCAGCTTCTTATTTGGAAAAAAACCACTTAAGCCCTTGCGTTGGGCTCTTTTCTAGTGGAACCTGTTCACATGAATAAGAATTGAAAGTCAGAGTTCATTTTTCACCAATAGCTTATGGTTAGCTCAACTGCCCTGGTAAATCATATTCCTCTGGTGGAGACACCAGAGTAAATCCATCCTAACTTCATTATACTAATCTGTTGTAAACGGTGTTGCTTTATATTGATATAACAACATCAGGCTCTAACCTACTGCATTATTTTAAAAATTACACTATTAAATATGTCAGCACTAGCAAAAACCTAATTATGACTCTTTTAACAGGTACTCTAGGATTAACTCCAAATGCACCTAATAACAACAAAGGTATTCCAGCCTGGGCCAATGTCACGGCTGTACCAGTCAGCTTCATGCCTGAGCAAAGGAGTCCTCCTGTGTCCTCTCTGAGCATAAACAGAGGTAAAAGATACAGTATTTATCTGCAAAGAAACACCAATCATCACCTCATAAACAAAGGCAACATAAACAATGTTATTGGGCACTTTGGGTATTTCAGCTTCTGTGAAAAGATGCTAAGCCAATAATGATGGAGGAGCCCATCAGTTGTCCTAATTATTCTGGTTGAGTTTTCTGAGTTGTAAACACTGTATCTTCATTTAGGGGCTAGTCTGCAAGAGGATAAATCAACTGCTATGACTTGCTGATGAAGCTACTCCACTGCTGTTGCAGAGGACATCAGTGTGAAAGGTCCTTGATACAGCCCCCACTGAAGGTCTGAGCAGGGCACAATCATGTGCATCCCAAATCACAACCACTTTCGGCAAATCTTTGCAATCCACCTAGTGCCCAAGGATTAAGGTTTTCTTTGTGAAATACCAAGTCCTTTTGACTTTGAATAGATGACCCTGTAAAAATAACCTCTAAATTACAAGCATTAGACTAGTTTAGATCCTAACAGGATCCCAGCAACCCATCTTCTGCTGTGTGCTTCCCTGAGGCTGAAGTTGCTCACTGGGCTTATATTCAGCTCCTCTGCGGTAACAAAGCTGATGTAAAGTTACTGCCATTGTAAATGACAGATGAATGTTCTGTGGTAGATAAAAATCTCTGAATGCACTGATGACTGATGGATCCTGTTAATGCTTGGGCCTTTGCCACGGTTTAGTGCCTACTTAAACAAACCAGCTCTGAGAACCATCACCTATAAAAGCAGTTTAACTACAATAACTCTGCGAGTGTGCCTGTGTGCAGATGTGTGTATTTATGTACCTATCAAACAAAGAGCTATGAAACTCCTTCTCAGCGTAGCTCAAGGCTTAATCTAAGACTCTGGATAGTGAAGAAACTGCTTTGAAAAGAAGGTGAGCAAAGCAAAGTTACCTGTCCAACTTAGACCTGTATTTTGCACTGGAAATTCTTTTTGTTCCTCAAGATGTTGATCAGAACAGGCTTTGACATCAAGTTGAGAAGGATCAAGCAGTTGGTGAGAAAAAGGAAAAAACAATTGATATTCAAGACTCTTAATATATTCAAAGATTCAAGACATTCAAAAGCTCCTTCACCCCTTAAAGGGTACTTACCCCATGGTTTCCTCTGAAGGCATTCCTGGTCAAGGCTCTAGGATTTGTCTAGTACACAAGAAGAGTTAAAGCTGAGAGAGTTGAGGGTGTTGAGCTTGGAAAAGAGAAGGCTCTAGGGAGACCTTAGAGTGGCCTCCCAGGACTTAAAGTTGCTACAGGAAAGACGGGGATGGACTCTTGTTCGGGGAGTGTAAGGATAGAACAAGTGGTAATGATTTAAACTGAAAGAGGCCAGATTTAGATTAGATATAAGGAAGAAATTCTTTCCTGTGAGGGAGGTGAGGCCCTGGCACAGGTTGCCCAGAGCAGCTGTGGCTGCCCCCTCCCTGGAAGGGTTCAAGGCCAGGTTGGACGGGGCTTTGGGCAACCTGGGCTAGTGGAAGGTGGCCCTGCCCATGGCAGGGGGGTTGGAACTGGATGGTCATTAAGGTCCTTTCCAACCCAAACCACCCTGTGATTCTGTGAAAAGCCGAAGAACACCAGTGAAGGAGTGGAAGCTGGCCTGGCTAACCCCATCGGTAATACTAAGTACAGGCTTGTCTCTGAATGGTGACAGGGAGATGCCAACCACCGCCAAAACATCAGAGCTGGGCATTGCTTTGAACTCCAAGATGAGAGGAGAGGCAGCTGCATTCAGTGACTAGTGCAGGTGTTTGTCTCCTTTAAGGCCAATTTAAAAAAACTTTTAGAGGGGCCCAGTACCACCCGGGTGTTAAACATACTGTGAGAACAAGTCCTGGACCGTATTCCTCAGAGGAGTTGGTAGGCAGGATGTATCTTTACCCAACATCAGTACAGTGGTATGGACTTGTAATGTGTCTGAGATCTTAGTTTGAGAGAGTGATGTCCTGGGAGCATGTCACTTCTAGAAATAGGTAACAACTGAGCATGGGGGGCGGATAGCAGTTTTGAACAGAGGTGTCATACAAGTCCTGCTTTCCATGCTTTAGGCTCTTTCTTGGATCTAGGCCTCAAAAGATGTGTCTCTGTGTGTCTGGTATCCTTGGTCTCACTGGAAGGCTGGCTTCCATCATGAAGAAATGAAGCTTGGCTTCTGGAACTCCAGGTTGAGCCTATGGCAGCCTCGTGTGCAGCTGACCAGTTAGAGCAGTAGTTCACTGCACTTGGCAGTGCTCCTCAAGCCAATAATGTCATGTCCTTTCCTTAAACAGGGGAAGTATAATGAGGAGAAAGTATCTGAGGGGCTGTTGTGAGGAGCATCTGAGAACTTCCTTAGCTACTGCAAGGGTGGTAAGGGCTGTCATACTACTTTGAGAAGTCCCAAAAAAGTGCTTCAAAATCTTCCAAGGAATGTGTCTCAGTCTTTGTGTCCCTAACCTCTAGGGCAGGAACTGGCCTGCTTCTCACATCTGTTTCTTTTCTATATTTCAGTTGACAATGACCCACATTTCATCATATACCTGCCCAAGAGCCAAATGAACATCTGCTTCAATATCAACTCAGATCCTGGAAAGATCCTAAACTTGGTTTCTGATCCTGGTACTGGTAAGGGAATAAAACATGGTTTATTTTACAGAACGCTTTTCTTCTCTCAGGTCTGAAAGACGTTCAGAGGATCAGGGGAAATGCCCAGAGGGAGGACTGTGTGCTAAACAGGAGTGTGGCCAGCAAGTTGAGGGAAGTGGTTATTTCCCTCGACATCTGGAGTACTTGCCCAGTTTGAGGCTTGCCAGTACAAGCAAGATGGTGACAAACGGGATCAAATTCACTGGTGGCCACCAAGATGATTGTGGTGCTGGAGCACAGAACATAGTAGGTGAGGCTGAGACAGCTGGGCTTGGTCAATCTTAAGAAAAAAGACCCCAGTGAATCTTGTTGCTGTCTACAACCACTTAATCAGAAGGTAAAGATGGAGCCTGACACGTCTCCAAAATGCACAGGTAAAGGACAAGAGGCAACAGAAACGAGTTGCAACAGGTGAAATTCAGAGTAGGTGAGCTATCAGGAAAAACTTTTTCACTGTGAAGATGGCCACACGTTTCTGCTGATCCCATGGTACTTCTGCTGCAGTCAGAACTCCAAGTCTCTAGGTGGTGCTCCAAGATTTAGGTAACATCTGTTTCTCTGCTTTTAACAGGAGTTGTGGTCAACGGGCAGCTTGTCGGGGCCAAGAAAACAGAGAATAAGAAACTCAACACATACTTCGGCAAAATTGGGTTTTATTTCAAAAACAAAGGCTTGAAAGTGGAGATCACCACAGAAACAATAACGCTGAAAGATGGATCTTATGGCATCACACTGACCTGGTCTGACACGGGGCACATCATTCGGAAACAGTAAGTTGCTGAGCATTTGTTGTCTGCCCTGTGGAAACCGTCTGTGACACAGCATTGGGCTGACCCAGCTATGGGTGGGATCCCTGTCACGGGGTGCCTACATGTGGGCACATGAATCTTAGCTACTCACGTTGTAGTTAATGGAATTAGGCAGCAGGGACAAGAGAGCAATTCAGTTTACCAGACACAAGTAGAAAGAGCTGAATTCCTCTCCTTACTGCTGACAGCGTTAGCCAATACCAGGATTCAGTTGCCTAAACACAAGCACCTAATGTATATGAGGGGCCTTCAGGGTTCCTGACAGGATGAGAGACACGACTCACAACATCCAGGAGACCATCACCTGCAGATTAACATCTAGCAGCTGTGTTGGACACCCTACAGCACTAGACAATGTGATTTAAGCAGTAGGATCCCTTCCAACATCTCCATTCATTGTAGCAAGAGCTTAAATTTGTAAGGCAAGATTTGGTACTTGAACACGAGCATGAAGTGTCTGTCCTGTCAGGCACTGTCCTGCCAGAGCTTTGTGTACCACTCCCAAGGCTGTAGGTTTCTGTTGGATCCTCTGTCATATCTGCCAGGCCCCCGTGGGTGTTCTGGATGCCCAAAAGCATCTCAAGGGGTCAGAAAGCTTATGTGTGAGCAGCTGAACTGAGCCCTTCCCTTGGTTCATCTCTGCTAGGCTTCTCATATCTGTAAAGAAAGAAAGCAATGTTACTATCACCGTGGGTGAGGAGATGTCCTTCATGGTTTTGCTGCACCGTGTGTGGAAGAATCACCCAGTTAACGTTGACTTCCTGGGAATCTACATTCCCCCTGAAAACCAGTTCTCTCCTGAAGCCCATGGGCTGATAGGTAAGGGCTGAGGGTCGGTTGGTGGGGATGGTGAGGAACCACAAAGGGGTTTTGCTAGGTCTCGGAGTGAATTAGTTGGTGTCAGTGTCCTGATGGGGAAGGGGTGAAAATTGCTCTAACAGAAAACGTGGGAGATTCCTCTAATGTCCTGCGAGCCCCAAGGAGATTGTAGAACATCAGGGTCAAGGAGATTGTTCCTCATCCCAGCTGTGGAGGGCGTTTTCAAAACATACCTGACTAGTCCTGGTGACACTGTGACTGGGGCTTTCCCGGCCTGACTAATCTGCTGTGAGTTGAAAGTAAAAAAAATTGAAACAACCCCCTCAAACCTTCTTTCTGAGAAGACTTCTGTGCAAACGTTTGTAATTCAGCCCTCCCCTGAACGACAGCCCTTTTTCTGGCAATGGTATAAAACAAAACCAAGGGCTCAGTTCATACGGAAAATCAGCCCTCCAAGCTCTGGACCCACCCAAGGCTCTTTTTAAGATGTGGGAATCCTGAGCAGCAGAGATTGTTTTCCCAAATAACTCTTTGCAGCTCCAGTCTTCATTCTTAGAATAAGTTTGCTGGCTCAAAAGCAGAGCTTTTCACTCTCCCAGCGTGGGTGATCTGATAGCGCTGGAGACATGGTGCCCTGTGATCCACGTAGGAGTGGTTTGCCAGCTGCAGCTAGTTTGATTTTCCAACAGTGCCCAGAAGCAGCAGCTTACACGAGAGCCTCAAAGGTTAGGACATGCAAAGAGTTTTAAACCTCTCTTTGATCAGGTCAGTTTGCGTCTGAACCAGAAGTGTATATCCACCACCAAAGACCTGGGCAAGCTCCAGGGAAACCACAAGCCACCATGGAAGTGAAAGGCAACAAGCTCACTGTTACCAGGTAGGAATAAAGTGCTTTACTGCTCTCTTTCTAAATCTGACTTCTTTTTAATCACATCAATGACTGCAGGCTGATTGGATCTTGGGGGAAAAAAAACCAAAACGCTGTTTTCTCTCTGCTAATAACGTGGTTTTAGCAGTTGGCAAAACACTTGGGACAAGTTGGGTTCTTTCAGATTTGGGCATGAACAGTTCTGGCTGTACAGCTGCCCAGCATCTGACCTTGGACAGGCCATGTCAAACTGCCTGGGACCCCCACCAAAGGGCCCCTGAGGTCATAGAACTGTAAAATTAATTGGTTTTTGTGGTTTTATCCACTTTCTGCTGGTGGAAGACACCTGTCTCACCACCGCAGCAGAGCAGCGCCATGAACGAGCAGGATGATCAGTGTCTTCTTGGCTACGTGTCCTGGGGTGAGTTTCATTTCGGGTGGCCTCTCCCTCACAGGGGATTGCAGAAGGACTACAGGACGGAGCGCGTGCTCGGGACTGACGTGCAGTGCTGGTTTGTGCACAACAGCGGGAAGGGTTTCATAGACGGCCACTACAAGGATTACCTCGTCCCCCACCTGTACAGCTTTCTGAAGAAACCCTGAATGCTCCAACACAAAACCAGTTTGTTACAAAAAATTCTTATCTGCTCCTTCACGCCCAAACAACTCTTCTGAACAGCAGCTGTGAGCCTAGCCCGATCAACTGAAGGCTACTTCACCACCATTTGCTTTATAAATGATCAGTGTTTCAAAGCCATGTGACTAACTCCCTTTTCTGTTAAAAAAATGAAATCTGTAATAAAGTGACCTGCTGGGTTGTAGTAGGTATCTTGCTCTTGCCACGTCTGATTTAGTAGATATTAAACCCCATTTAAAATGTCAGCTGTTTTTGTAATATACATTTCACAGACTTGTAGCAGCATGGTGGCTCCTGCAGTATCGCTGACGCACATGACCAGATTTAATACTTACACCTTCGCTTTTTCAGACTTCTAGGAAAATGTAAATTGTGCACTGCTGGACTGGGCAAAAAGGAGGATATGCATTAGATACGAGAGAAATTTAACAGAAAAATTAACACGGGCTCTGCAGTGGGTATCATGAGGAGTCTCCAGTCTTTAAGGATGGGTTAACCAGTGACAAGGAGTGTTCTTGAAATATGTGATGCTGTCATACAGCAGGAAAATTAATTACATGAGTCTTAATACAACCTCCAGCCTATTTTTTGTGAAAATTTCAGCATCACAGTGGAGTTCACACACAGATACAAATCTGGGAAAGCAGGAAACAGGCTATACAGGAATCACCATCAATACTAAAAGCTTCCCTTGCAGTGGGATTAGCTCCCAAAAGATGCCTTGCTCTTCCAGAGTACTCAGCAATGAGTGAGATCAGGAGTGAGACTAATTTACACATCCATGTACTTAGAGCCAGATTTAAAACTCTGCTTTCCAGCAACCTTAGGAAAAAAACTGTTGGCCAGATTCTTCTCAGCCACCCTAACCTAGAAAGGTGATTCAAATAACCTACTTGCCCTTCTGAAGTTCAGTTTCCTTCACTTACGAACTAAAGGCTGGTAGATGATCTTTCTTGCAGCCGTGGTGTCAGGAGTGAGGATCAATACGTTTTAAGTGTCCCTTCAAAGTAACTCTCAAAGCATAAGCAACTTCCCTACAAACCATTTATTGCTGCTTTGAACTCATTAATTAGCTTTAGCCCCTACAGCATCCTGCAGCAGTGAGTTCCCTAGTTTAACCAGGCTCTGTTTGGGGGGAGGAAAAACCTGTTGAGTGTGGTTTTAAATCCCCAAATCAGTAATTCCACTGTCTGTTTCCTTGCTTGTATGTGACTACAAGCAGTGAATAATCTCTTCTCCACACCATTTGTGACTTGTCTATTATATTTACTCTCTAGATATTTTTATGATATATAATATTAATATATGCTATTAATAATTAATAATTCAATATTATATATATTCTTTTCATTCCAGAACATTAGGTGTAATTTTTTCAGTGACAGAAGCTGTCTGTTCACTTATCCTCACTACTCTCCTACATAGCTCTTCTCATCTGTACCCATTCTTTGAGAAAGGGCAGAGCTGCTTACACAATCCACGCTGCACAAAGAGCCTGAATTTACAGACCAGTGTGTCCTCTGCCTCCAGTTCCCTTCCTCCCACTTCTCCACTCTTTAGATTCCGGGATCCCTGGAAAGCCATTTGATGTCCTGTGTGAGGTTACTTCAGGCTACTCCAGGCAGCAGCTGTTTCACTATGGCTCTGCAGTCTTTCAGTTTTCCTGCAGGGGTCCCCTAGAAACCACAAATCAACGAGACAGTGAACCTCTGCGCCAAGGAAAGGGACAAGGAACTGTGACTTGAACTGTTTAAACGCCCATGCTGAGATCTCCTCTGAAGGATGTGGGGCAGACTGGTTTTCTCCCACAGACACACAGCCTAGCCAGGTGCAGACTGGACCATCAAGTGATGGTTTGTGCTTTGCCTGGGACAATTTAGCTTTTTTTTTTTTTTTTTTAACACAACTAAGGCAGTGCACCAGCTGGGCACCTCACTGTGCTCTGCAGTAGATGTAACCAACAGACACCTCACGCGTTTAAAAGGGCTGATAAGAAATACACTGACCTAAGAAAGGTTTATGTTTATTCCTGAACTGCCTCAGAAATTAAGCGTTGTACAAAATGTGACATTTTTTAAAAAATAAAAAAATAATGTTACATAATTCAGCACGAGGAAGGTTGCTCGTGTAGCAGAGCAACAATGGAAGCATGAACAAAGGAAAAGGCTCTGGAAAACCAAAACTGTGATCACCAATTTGTATCTGCAGACACACTGGCTGGCACCTCAGAAACCCCACGAGTATCACCCATCTGAAGATAAATTGCATATTAGCATTATTAGGAATTCTGACGAACAAGATGATGGAGGAGTGACGACCTGGATTCCAGAATCTCCGATGTGCTAACCAACAATGAGTTGGTGACAGCATGTAATAAACCAGCCCATTCTAACAACATCCAGGAAAATAATCCCTTGCAGCACGGTTACCTTCCTGCTATTCTCTTAATCCCATCCCCTTGTTCCTGCAGCCAGCACTCAGTTTTAGCTGCAGATGGAGAAGTGTTGTTCAGGCTCCACTGGCACTGACACACACGCTGCCTGCCTCAAGCGGCTATTGGTAGGTAATTCCCTCTCTTACAGAACTGCTAACATACTTCAGCAAATAAAATACTCCATCTTGCAGATATCTGCTATATTTTACAAAAGAAAATTGAACCAAATATTGTAACTTTGATATAGAATCAGATGAAATATTTCCAATGATAAGATTTCCACAAACACGTTCTGTATAGTGATCTTTAAATAAATCCAGTTTGCTTGTGGTTAATTTCTATATACATTATAAATACATACACACACACAATTAAAACCCTGACATGGTAGAGTCTTGTGTCTGCCTGCAAGATGCCAGAAAGATGTTTTTGGGAACCAAACTCTTCTCTGATCCACAATTAGCGCCTCAGGCGAGTTTGGAAATGTCTTCGTACTGGATATCTTCAACCCGTCGTCCTTTTAAAGGTCCCTGGAGTAGAAGAAATAAGATCAAAATATAAACTATGTGTGTCGAATTCCCAATAGGGAGCTTAATGTAAGATAGTAAAGGGGCTGTATAAAACCTCACCACATTTAGACATTTTTCAAAAAGCACAACCAAAGCGAAATAGCACTAGAAATCACAGGCAGTGGCATTTTTACTCAGTGTTGCACAGACAACTACTTTTGTGTTTAACGTGTTTAAGTGCTGTGTCCAAAAGCCACATATCAGTGCACACAGGAGGCTGTACAGGGGATGCATGGCACAACGCATCCAAAGAACTGCGGGTTTGGGATTTGCTTACGACACAATGTTTTCTGTTTTGTTATTTTCAACTTGATCAAAGAATGTGACAGGGCTAACACTGTCCCAGAAATCTTTTTCACTTTCAGGACGCTTTTGTGTTAGTTAAAGTCCTTGGAATTTTGGGGCAAACATAAGCAGCTGTTTTGAATTAATTCACTGTGAACTCAGAAGTAGTAAAAGATTTAATTTTTAATACAAACTTCTTAGATATAAAAATCCTGGTCACCCTACAATCAGAATGAAAATTCTCACAGTCTTCAATGGTTTCTAGGAGTAGTTTCATCCATTTTTAATTTATAGACTCATAGTTCATGCAGGAAGGGGAAATCCTAACACTACAAGCATCAGAACTAGAGAAAAACTACCCTTGCTTTCCAAGGCCAGCATTATCACAGTCCTTAGCTCCAACCAAAGCTCCTTCTGTGGTTAGGACATCTGCACAGTCTCCTCAAGCAAATTCTCCAGAATCCAATAAGGACTGAGCCTCTGCAGCCCTTCTTTGAATGGGATCCTAATGGGGTCTCTCTCCTGCAAGCTGTGTTTAAGAAATCTGACTTTGAGCCAATATTCTCTCTGCTGTACCGATGAGTTTAAACATTGGTTTTGCAGAGGAGGATAAAGAAGTAGCCACACAACCAGACATGACAACATGGCCTAATTTTAGCCCAGAGAAAGGTGGTATGTTAAAAACAAAAAGAACAAAGAACCATAATTGTTAACCATGAACAAAACAACAGATAAGCACATAAAGCCTCACGTTCAAGTCTGGAAAAGGCAGGAGAAAATTCACCTCCTTGCGTATTTCACATTTTTTACCTTCCCACAAAATAGTACAACAGCCACATTCAAAATAAACACACAAAATATTTTGCAAGCCTCTTTCAAGTTCAAAACCTGCTAAATTCAGCATCTTGGCATCTTTTTAAAGGGAAACAGCAGAGCGTTAGTCTGCAATGGGGAATATGTGGCTGTTTCCCTACTGGTTGGAAACAGGCAGGGGGTGACCACAGCATTTTGCACACCGTAAATCCCACCTGTAAGACAGGATTAATGATACCATCTGTCTTTGTGAAAGCTCTCCAACACAGATGAAAAGTGTGCTACACAAACGAGATCCTGCAGTGTTTGATACTTACAGAGTCGATGATTATTGTCGCTGAAAACCTCTTTTCATTGATAGATTCCAAGATGCCTTCATTCCCCCTGTAACCACCATTTAACACCATCACTTTCTTGCCTGAAATGAGAAATAGGAAAACGGTTATACAATAGGACTTCCAACTTCTTTTGATGGAGATGTATTCTACTCTACTGACAGCTAAAGGACAGGTCTCTCCCAGTGGCTCCAGCAAGCAGGGCCCAGCTCTGCCTTACAGCCCATTTCCAGAGCACACCTGAACTACTGCTCCAGGCTACACTGATACTATGGGCACAAACTACTGAAACTACATCAGGGAAAGAATCACAGAATCACAGGATGTCTTGGGTCAGAAGGGACATCAAAGACCATCCAGTTCCAACCCCCCTGCCATGGGCAGGGCCACCTTCCACCAGCCCAGGTTGCCCAAAGCCCCGTCCAACCTGGCCTTGAACCCTTCCAGGGAGGGGGCAGCCACAGCTGCTCTGGGCAACCCGTGCCAGTGTCTCACCCCCCTCACTGGGAAGAATTTCCTCTTTATATCTAATCTAAATCTACTCTTTTTCAGTTTAAAATCATTACCCCTCATCCTATTACTACAAGCCTGTGTAAAAAGTCCCTCCCCGTCTTTCCTGTAGCCCCTTTAAGTCTGGAAGGCTGCTCTAAGGTCCTCCCAAGAGCCTTCTCTCCTCCAGGCTGAACACCCGCAACTCTCTCAGCCTGTCCTCACAGGGAGGTGCTCCAGCTCCCCCTGAGCATCTTTGTGGCCTCCTCCAGACCCACTCCAGCAGGTCCGTGTCCTTCTGATGTTGGGGGCCCCAGAGCTGGGTGCAATAATCCAAGTAGGGTCTCACAAGAGTAGAACAGAGGGGGAGAATCACCCACCTCAACCTGCTGGCCACACTTCTCTTGATGCAGGCCAGGACACGGTTGGCTTTCTGGGCTGCAAGCACACATGGCTGGCTCACAGTCAGTTTTCCAACCACTAATATGTCCAAGTCCTTCTCCGCAGGGCTACTCTCAATCCACTCATCGCCCAGCCTGGATTTGTGTTTGGGATGGTCCCAACCCATATGCAGGAGCTTGCACTTGGTATTGTTGAACTTCATGAGGTTTGCACAGGCCCACCTCTCCAGCCTGACAAGGTTTGAGAGGAAGATGCCAAAGCTGTTTCTCCCACGTCCCATTCTCTGTACTAATGGCTCAGTGCAACTCCTTTTTGCCTTGTCTCACACAGGCAGTCCCTTCGGACATCCATCCCAGTGCAAGGGTGGGCAGAGCTCACCTACAAGTGCCATTATGTTAAGGAGCTCTCACAGACACCATCAATGAGCTCTTCACCAGCTGCAGAAATGCAGCTGAATGTGAATCCTGAAATCCTACACCCTGTTTCCCCCTACGCTGACATTGTTCTGCTCACTGCTACCCTGACCATTCCCTGCAATACTGATCAGATGTTACACACAGACGTTAGCACGTACCAGCCAAATAAATGCCAGCGAACCAAACAGAAGATGAGATAAGCTTTGCCAAGGGCCCACGGTTATTTGAGGCATTACTTTAGAGGGAAGATACAGGATAAACATGACCAAGAGCTCCGTAGGGCTCCCAGAGATGTTTCCTGGCAGCTGAAAGTACTTTCATCTCATCAAGTCAACTGATTCCTAAAGCACTTCTGTCTTCTCAGAAAACAATCTAATTCTTATGAGAAGAGACTGTGAGGACTCAAAGCAGAAGCAATGTAGTAATTCCCTAGAAAGTAACCAGAGGATATTTGGTAAATGATCAGAGTAGCTTATGAAATGTTGTCCCAAGAGCAAGATGGCTCTTGTTCTGGTACTTTCAAGGGGATGAATGATTGTTTAAAAGAACTGACATGTTAAGTTTTGCAGTGACAGCTAAGCTGAAAAATGAACAGAACAGCTATACCTGGTGCGGGTATTACAGTTTCCAGATGTGTCTGATCAAGCTTCAGTTTGTCTCCAGAATCAATCATCTTCACAACTGCTGTGTATTTGTCAATCACTTCCTGTTGTGAAAGGCAGAGGCCAATCAGAAAAGTAAAAAAAAAAAAATTCTCTAAATTTATATTTCAAAATCAACAAACTCGGGACCATGAGTCTGCACTTCTACATTTTCAAAACTGTCCTAAAGGCATCCAGCTTTCACAGGGTGCTGACTGGCCCCACTCTGAAGTTAAGGCTAGACTAAAAGGGCTCCCCTTGAACATCAGTAACTGGTCTCATTGACCACTATTTTTGTCAGCCTCATCTGAAGGTTTTGTCAACCTTTGGGTCAGCTATCTTAGCTATTCTCTCAAAGACAGAGAGTAAATTAAAGGCTTCTTTCCCCGACATGAGGCTAAGCTGGCTGGAAGCCACACAGTAACAATTGGGATACTACCCCTCAATGAGGAGAAATGTCACCGATCATCTCTGTGCCTAGCACAAACCGTGTCAACCTCTCATATTCACAGCTCAGCAGAAGACAGCGCTCCGACTCATGAACTCTCCATCAAAAAAAGCTGTCACTTTCACCTCTATACGCTCTTGTTGATCACTCAAAATGCACCTGGGTGTATTCTTTGGCACTTTTGCCAGAGACTGTTGAGCCTTGGACTACATAGTACAACATCATTTCACTGGCAGTGGCTAAAAGAAAGCACTTCCAAACAACAGAGCAAGGCTTACAGCCTGAAGATTTTTGTATGCAAATGGGATCTCGTTCAAAGGCAGGCTGCTGCTTAAGCATCAGTGCAAAACTGACTAGTCTGAGATTAAAATGCAATTGCACTGCTCCTGGTCATACCACAGTGACAAAGTGACTATTCTCTAAAATGGATGTGTTAATAGGGACAAAATATGCAGAATGAAAGAGTGCTTAAAGAAGGATCACTGAATAAATGACATTAAACCAATCCAGAGATTCACCTCTTGTCCAGATCAAGTCCCAGTACAGCCAAGGGGACATTTCAGCCCCTGTCAGTGTTGCCTTAAGACTGAACAACTTGCATAATGAAACAAAATTTCAGAAGTCATCTGATACCAGAAAAGTCTAACCAATGCCATGTGCTTCCATTTTCACACTTTACCTTAACAACTGCCTTCTTCTTGTGGTATTTCTCTCCAAGCTTTTTTGTTACAATTTTCACAATGATTTCCTGGGAGAAAAAAAAAAAAAAAGCTAAAATATATAAACAACTACACAACCTAAACTAATTGCACATTCAGGTCACTCCGACTCCAACCACAGACTGTACAGCACAGCACAGGAAGCAACGATAGTAAAGACTCAGCTTTTAGGAATTTGTCTTCATCCTCAAATTATTGCCTCGAAGTAGCATTTCTCAAGACTGTTTTATAAATACAGTTAAACTGGAATACAGGATATAATGTGCCAGCCCACAATGGGTCAAGGGCAGGACTCCTTCATCTAGAAGTCCAGTCAAAAAGTAGAAGCAGGGATGAGGTCTCTCAGCTCAAAGGCTGACGATGACTTCTACACCTCTGTGCGAGTCAGTTACTATGCAGAAAGAAGAGGACTGTAAGCAATATCGTGATTTAAACATGATCTGTAGAGACTCAGTACCAACTCTTCAGTTAAAGAATGCCACCCCATCTCAGATCAGGCATACCATGCTTCAGACTGCAGACCAGGCTCAACCAGAAGAGTGATTCCTCACAGATACTGCAATATTTCACATTTGGCAGTTTGGAAAATAAGAGTGAATTTACTTTGGAATCTGCTTTTGGATCTTTACACAAATCAATAGCAGCTTTAGAGATGCAGAATTGGTTGTGTTTGGTATAATAATAATTTTTAAGATACTTACAGGCTGCAACCAGTAGTCTCTTCGAGATGTTCTTTTCTTCTCCTCTTCAAGCTACAGAACAACAACAAATAATGACCATTAACTTCCACTTTTTACTGCAGCTTTCCCAAGTCTTTGAAAAGCTGAAGCAATTCTCCAGGCCCACATCAAGTTGGGAATAAAACCCAAAAAAACCCCACAACTAAGGGTAAGTCAGTCTGTGCTTGCTGCATAAAAATCAATCTCATGAGATCCAGCAATCCATGATAAAATGATGGAGATTTATATCTGGTTTTTGTCAACTGTTTCTAGATATTTTCTCCTCTTTCAAAATCTGTATTCCTTTACTTCCAACATCTCAGTTGTCTGGGGAATAGGCACAGATGAGCAGCAGAAACCAGTTTTGAAGGGGAATTGAAATAATTTTGCCTGATAAGATATGAAAGTCTGAATTCTGCATGAACTGAAGGTCTGAGGTCACTTCAAAGAAACACCCTGGTGAAGTGGACATCGCCAGAGGCATGGGGTTACAAAGACACAGATCCTGCATGATTATTACCTCCATAATCTCATCCAGTGCAGACTTCTTCTTTTTCTCTTTGGACTGACCAGAGCTATGAGCTGATTCTTTTCTTTTAACTGACCCTTCCACCATCTTCAGTGCATTCGGTCCAAGGACACTGCTGGAAGAGTAAGATGGTGTTTTCACAGCAGACCTTACACTGTTTTCTCTACCAAGATGCATCTGAAGAACTGGATGTGCAAAAACACCTGCTGACCTATTTAATTTCAGTTGTGCAAGTCACCTTCCAGACCCTGCACACCTCCTTCTCTAGGACTGCATGTGGCAGCTAGAACTGATCTCCTTGAGGTGTAAACTCCACGTCCCACTGATGGTTGCAGAATAAAAACAACCTAACGACCAGTTCACCAGCACAAAAGCAAAGAGTTGATCAGGGACTTGAGTTCAATGGAGAAGACAAAGGCGGGTCTGCAAATAAGGTTTTCAAATTCAAAAGGACAAGCTTGTAGCTTTACAGAAGCCACCTGGACAGAGTAACTCTCAATCATGGTAGACACCTAGAACTGCTTCCAGACAGAGATAATTAACCTATTTGTCAGAGGGAGAAAACACATGGGAATCTGCAGAAAAGGGCTCCACACCCAGAAAAGAAACACCATCTTCACAATCACATTCAAAATAGGCAAAGAGCCCATGAGTTATTGAAATAAAAGAGCAATCAGCACAAAAACTTACATCTAAGGGATCAGGGAACATCTAGGTAAAGTGAGAACTGCCTAAAGGCAGCTTGAATCAAGCTGTTTTTATAAAAGACATCTGAATGCAGAAAAATAAAATATAGGTGTTCTCTCATCCTGAAAGATGAAGGTGGCTGCTGTGAGGCAGACAGTAAGGTAATACTAATACAGCCTTACAACAAATTGCATGTTCTGCCTGTGGTGAGGATGTTGGATACACTAGCAAAGGAAAGACAGGTAATAGGAATGAATACAGAAATGGCAGTAGAAGCAAAACTGAGAGAAAAGTTGTATTTCAGAGGAAGTCTGGATAATCTCCATAGCAGAGTTCTAGAAGAAATAGCACATTAAGTGAAAAATCAAACAGCAAGTACTTAAAACATCTCATAAAGGGTAACATACAATTAAAACATAACAACTGCACTGTCTACATTTAAGAAGCATAACATATCTAGCTGTAAGGTTAGTAAAGGTTACTAAAGGATTGGTGGGTGTCAAAACAAATCTCATTCATTATGGACCCTGGGACAAGGAGTGGGACCACCAACACTCTTCAGGTGTGTCATCAATATGAAAGACACAAAAAAAGAACTGGACAACAGAAGGGACTGGTTTACCTTGAAAACCATGTTTTATAAAACACAAAATTCAACAGCACATTATGCAAGCTCACATACTTTGGAAAATTTTACTCTGATTACCTTCTATCTACTGGGAGCTGTTTAAGAACAACAAAAGCAGAAAGGGGTCTGGCTATAATCACAGATGACAGCTACCAGTGTGGACCAGTCATGAAAGAGTCAAATGCAATCCTAGGAAGCATCAAGACAGACAAACATTAGTGCCTTGTATAAGCCACGGTGACGTTTCATTTGCAGCATGCACAAATTCGATCAGCTCCCCTGTTCAAGATTACCTGAAACTGGAACAAGGACAAGGAAGGGATATTCAGCAGATCGGGGAAACTGGGAGAGGGGGTGAGCACCATGCAGCCCTGCTTGTAAAGCACAGTGAAGGCTGAGAGGCTAAAACTGTTCTCTACAAATACACTGTCTGCGAAAGCAATCACCAGAGAGAAAAAGAACTATTTATGTTAAACACCCATACCAGCGAGAGAGCAACGGGTATAAACTGGCCAAGGACCACATTTACTTGGGAAATTACAGACAAGGTCCTAACCATGAGAACAAACAGGTCCTGAAGGATCTTCCCTTGGGATTATAGGGCTGGGGAGACCCTAACTGTGTACAGTGGAGGCTGATCAGTGTGCAGAGTTGCAGTACTACAGACAGGGAGTCGGTGACCTTGATAGCAGATTCTGCTCATTCCTTCATTAGAAGTAATTCTAATCTTACTTGCCCACTGACTGCGTTAAGCAGGGATTTGAGGATGTAAGACCTTGAGGAAGAGAAGGCCAGGGCTCCCAGTTTGCTGAAGGGCAGTCAGCATCAGAAGCCGTGCCCGCAGCAGTGGTGGTGACTCCCAGTTTCACAGCAGCCACACGGATGTCCAAGGGAAGGCACACCTTCCCTCCCACTGCCCTTCTCAGCAAGGCTCCAACACCACCTCTGTACCCAACCACCAGTATCCCCACACCCTCAACACTCTACCATCCACTACCTACGATCTCCTGGTCCTATTTCTGCACCCTGCTCCTGTAATACAAGTGCCAGGTTTCTGTAGCTTGTGCTCTGAGCCCAGAAAGTGGGAAGGCAGGAAGCCCCACCGCACGCTGCACTGGGGTACTGAACATCAGGCTGAACAAAACTGATCCTCAGTAACAGCCAACAGCTGCAGGACACACCTCTGCGCTCACACAGGGAAGCAGTTTCCATATACGACTCTGAAGTGATTCCTGTATAAACCACAGTCCAGTCACTTTACCATGAAATGGGTATCCTAATTTTGCTGCTACACTACCATTACAGAGTTTACAGACAAGTATCTCATATGCTACCAAAAAAATGTACTACTTGATACATGATTTCACATTCAGCCAAATTTTAGCAAGTACCTTAAGTATTCCTCACTGAAACTATTCAAGTGAGCGTCTGAATTAAGTTTCAGACTCATCTGAAGCACAACTCAACACTTAGGGATAATTTACAAGTTTTCCTCAAAGCCTGAAATCTGTATCTATTATTGCGAAGAAGTACTTTATTGTCTCATTTTCTGCCTGGCATATCTCCCATCAGATACCTTATCTAGGAGCTGAGCTTGTGATGAGAGGAAAGCCTTCGTTTTACCTGCAATACATTTAATTACAGTATTGCCTCACATGAAAAGATGTACTGCTCATCAAACAGTTTCACAGACTGCTATAAGTCAGTATTGTTTGCACTATTGATCCCTTTTGTCCTGCGTTGCTCGTGGTTATATGATGACAATTAAATGCATGAGCTTTAGAAAGATTTACATCGGGTAGATTTAACTTCTTAAATGATGATCAGAGCAAGTATTACCTTCAATTAGACAAGACAATCAAACCTTTTAGGAACTAAATTAACAAGTCATTCATAAAGGCAGCTGAGACTAGATGGCACTCACTTCAAATGCTTTGACTGGATCCCTTTCACATAATAGTATCTTCCCAGAGGAACCTGTAACTGCCTATTACTTTATGGGCATCTGCCACGAACCAAAGTGAATTCAAGAAGGCTTCTCACAGCACACATTTAAGATACACCATTCATTTTCAATACAAAAGAAATCATGAAGTCACCTGGTATCCCCTCCTGAATAACATGACAGGATGAGATATTAGACTCCAAATATTTCAGGACAAGTTACATCTTCCTGCCCATACAGATATCATTGTCATGTAAGTGCTATGCAACAGTAAGGATTGCCCTTAAATTTTCTCACCTTGTTTTAGAAGATGCTGCTATTGAAGTACTTGCTCCTTTGTTTAAATTAAATGTAACTAAAAAATAAAAAGACATTACTCTATTTCTATCTTTAAATATAACTGCATTGAAGGATGTTACAATTTAAAAAAATCTGTAAATGGAAAAGATCATACATTTGAAAACATTTACTCTATGTAATAATCTATGCTTTGGTTCAGCTTTTAAAATAAATTAGTTTAAACACTATAAGAAAGAATATTCTGTATTTCTGTATTCCAGTTGTAACTGATTCACAGTGTGATCTCAAAGCACTTTATAACCGATCTCATAGCACTTTATGAGGCACCGAGCAGGCCTCAGCACTCATCTCATTTTAATCACAAAATCAGCTTCAGTACGTTCTAGAAAATTACATGTATCAAAATCTGGTTACCTTTTTCTTCTTCATTTTCTCTGTTCAGTTCAGTATAGACTGGCTTTTCCTGCCAAAAGAACACAAAACACATTTCAAGAGTTAAACAGAAAACTGAGCCAAGATATCATTTTTTTGGTGATCATTGATTAGCTCAGTTTTACAGACTACTGAGAGATTATTACAAGTAACTGTAATATTCAATCTGGCTTGATTCACAGTAAGATTATAAATTGAAAACATTATCTCATTACAGGCTCCTGTGCAAAACTCTCTAATTAACACTCTCTACAGAGATGCTGTCTAAACTTGCTTGATTCCAGCATGAAAGGAAAGTGGCCTTACTGTAAGTTTTTCCTATTTAAACCAGCATGATTAGACTGGTTTTTGGACAGACTGATAATCCAAAGAAGGAAATTCTGGAATCTTTCCAGATTTTTAGCACCGAAGGCTCAGACCATTTAAATTTCAATTAGTTTTAAATTAAGAAAAAGATAATTGTTTACTACAGCATTTAAATGTACCTATCAATATCCAGGATCAAATGGGAGGTTCCAGTCCCAGGCAACAACATGTATGAAAGTCATGGAATGACTCCAAATAAACAGATCCCAAATACCACACCAGCACTATCAAAATAAAACTTTTCACTATGCGGATTAGATAATGTCAGCTCCCCTTGATTATCTCAGCCTCCCCACTGTTCAAGGTACTTGTTATGTGCAGCCCTTAAAGTTGTGAAATACCACATATGAAGACAAATCATGCTGTTTACCGTACTGTTTATTCTCCCTAAATTCAAGAGCGATTTTTAAATCACTAATCACTCGAGGAGCAGTAATTATTACTCCTTTAGTACTAAAGCAAACCAGGTACAAAGTAACTCCAAGTTTTCCTCCAGAGCAGGTTATAATCTAAGATGATTAGCAGAATAGTATAGCAGAAAATTCAGACCGTAAGTGAACTGATGTGGTGATTCAAGTATGGAAGAAGACAGTCTAAATCAAAGTCTGAAATGGTCAGGATCAGACATTAGGGCCACAGGGCACAATTCTACCAGATTTCAAAATCACATCAAATCTAAAAAGAGCTGAAACCTCTGCTGGTTTATTTATTATTTTTGAAACTGTGATTCCATAGAGGATCTTGATGTTCATCAGCTGTAAAGACCATCAGCAAGTCGATTAGTCAAGGAAACATAACAAGCTGCAGTTTCAACAGAAACCAGTTAAGGCTGCTATCAGAAGTATCTGGGAGAAACCTATATTCCTTGTGGCTTAGAAAAGAACAGCAGTGCAGCCAAATATGCCCACTGTTTCTTGGTTAGAACTGATGAATTTGTAACCTGAAGCATGAAGCTTACTCATCACCTTCTAACTGACTGCAAAGGAAATACCAGTGCAAGGATCCCAGCAGCATCGAATTCACCACTGATTTAACCAAAAGGAGTTTTGAGCTGAAGGTTGACATACAGTGTAGTTTTCCTCACCAGTTCTTTCCCCTCCAAACCTCTTCTAACTTGTTGTTCGATGAATTTAGCAGTTTTTTCTTCATCATCAAGATCTTGTTTCTTCTTCCTCTCTTGTTCTTGTTGCCTGCGTATCGTCTCTGGGTCCCTATCAATATACTGAATATACCAGCCTTTTGGGGTCTCATCAACCTTGCAAAGACCTAAAAAGTTAATGCAAGATAAAGTAAGAATAATACTCACAAAGGCAAGCAAGGGACAAAGAAAATATCGAGATCATTTTCACAGTCCAACGTTCACTATAACAATGCAGATACTTCACCACAAACAATATACCCCTTACTGGCCTGATAAAATTGACTTTGAATTATCTTTAGTATCTGTTTCTGCCCTTCAGCTAGCCAGTTCTATTTGGAAATAGGCCAGAGTACATAATAAAGTGGAGTGTTTTATAATACTTTCCTTACTGAAGAAAATGTTTCCTTCCCGCTGTTTTAACTAGGAAGAAAACAGAAATCTAACACATATAAACAATACACACTAATAGCATCATACTAAAGGAAACTTTACTGTGCTACACTATTGTTACTAACTCTCAGTAGAGTGACTTTTCAAGCGCTATATGCCTCATGAATGTATCCTGCAGGACACAGGCAATCAGAGCCAAAGTAAACTTTCTGTCATACTACAGGGCCTTTTAATCTCTCTTCCTCCCACTCACTGAAAACAAAACTAGAGATCTCAAGCTTTAACCCTTTCACTAGGCCAGGAATTAAAATGACTGCTTGCTTCTTGGCACCTTAAATAGGAAAGGACTCTGTAGCCATACGCAATGTTCGATCATAGTTTTAATTTTTAAATGGCAACTGTTGGAAGTTGATTTAGAATTTAGCGGTATCTCCAGTAAACATAGACCAACTGATGAAAACAAGGAAAGGTTCATGACTGACACCTTTATCCCAGCCTTCTGACATTTTTCATAAGCAAATTCCTAATGGTTAGCACAGAAATACGTCTGGACATCTGTTAATATATATACAGGAAAGGAAGAGAAGAAAGAGAAAGAAAACGGGAGAACTAACATAAATATTTACTAATCACTTATCAGCAATGCAATTACCCAATAATTTTAAAACTTCCCAATCCTGAGCAACTACACTTACCTTCTCTCCCCAGCCATTTAGTAAAATCAGTCAGTGTCTCCCACTGCGTGGCATTCATGTGGATGTGCTCTCGATGACTAATATATTCATTGTACACAATATTATTGTGGACTCTCTTTGTTCCTGAAATACAGAATTATTACTATTAAATAGAAGTATGGGACCTAGCAGAAAGCAACAAAAACTTCTTGCACAGAACTAATAAAAGACATCAAAAACAAACAAGCAATCAAACAAACAGTAAAATATTTACCAAATCGCCTCCTGAGTAGTTCTAAGAAATCATTTCGGAACTCCCTTAGGGGATAAAAGAAAAGTATTTTAGTAAAATGGTAAAAAGTAATTTTCTGTTGTCATTAACAATTAAATATCTGCAGTACAAACATGAGTATTGTTTTGAGCTGAGCATGACAAAATAGACACTCATTTCCCTTTTTCAGTAAAGCAGCATTAAACGCAGTATGCGTGCACACAGAAACACAATATGGTGCATGCACACACAAGTTAAATCTTCAAAAGGATAATACCCTTTCAAAGGGATAAAATGGAAAGAATGAAATCTAAACACTTTCCACTAATTGCTGGTATTTCATTACCAGGCATCTTCCCAGGCTGACCGACACAAAACACAGGGCAGGACAAAGGGCAGCAGTGGTAGATGGGGTAGATTGATCACTCATCTCGCTGCTAATTCAAGGGCTTGAGAATAAAGCCTCGCTTCAGACTCGTGCTGAAGAGAGCTCTAGTCAACTCAGCTGTCACGCAGGTCAGCTGGACAAAGGACTGGGGGAAACTGTAGGACCTCAGTCACACCCCTGCCTTGTTATCTCTCTGTAATGGTTCTTTTTGTTTGTAATTCTGCATGTGTGGCAGTCGCTCAGCTGGGGCAGAGCGATGATGTACTTTGTAGCACAGAGCAACCTAAAACTTGGACACGGGATAAAACTGTCAAATTTGATTAAATATCAATGGTCTCTGAAATCTCTTACAATGCCTTTAAAAGTGACATCGCCTAAATTTTCAAACTGCCATTAAAAAAAGAGTTGACGCTAAAATGTATCAGAATAAAGTGTCTTCAGTGGGACATGACTGGGCCTTACAGATAATAATAATAATTATATGGCTGTGGTCGTACAGGAGTGAAGATCTGAGTAAGAATATATATAGCAGACTTACTCAGAAAAGTAATCCATGAATTGCTGAGGATTTTCAGAAGCCAGGAGCAATTGCCTCTGGTGGGACTCAGACATACAATGACATTTGAAGCCATTCTATAAAATAAAAATAAAAACTTTATCTGTCCTTGTCTCAATTTGCAACAGTCACACAGCTGAAGAGTATTAAAAATAATGTTTTACAAGTGAAATCTCTTGGAGGCTCCACAGAAAACACCTTAGCTCAGCCATAGCCTACCAGGCAAGCCAGAAACAAAACTCGTCCCGAGGCCAAGAGCCTCCAGACAAACTGTGAAAGGTGTTAGGAAACAAGAGATTGCAGCAGTCCTCTGTCTCTTGTGGAACTGGATAGACACAGCACCACCCAGGTCCACCCAGAACCTATTCACGTGCTTGTGCAAGAGCGCTGGAAATATCTGCTGGCTCCCTGCCTGACCAACACCAAACGTGTTAGGAGGGGATGGTGCTCTGGGAGGACCCAAGCTATGGACTGCGGTCGTTTGGCCTCCTCTGGCACAGGGCTGAAGTCATGAGAGCTCCCCGAGACATAGAACATTTGGCTGTATCCTTTTTTCGTCTAAAATAATTCCTTTTCATTACACTATGATTAAATCTACAGCAAATTTCAGTCCACAGGAGCCCCGCCCCCTTATAAAAAAATCTTGCTGCAAAGTGGTGAAGGTTTATTGCTTGTAATCACTGGGAAGAGAATAGGATTTGAGCTTCTTGAGCAAAAGGGAGCTGGGAGCAGAAACAGCTGAAGAACAATACAATTAAACATCCACAGGATGCTTTACTTCTTTAAGGCATGTTAAAGAGGCTATTCATGGAGAACGGAAAAATAAAAGCACAGTTAGCCCAAACCAAGGTACTTTCAGAGCACAGATGTGGTGGAAATCAGGAAGAGGACACTCACATCTCACAGGCATCTGGGTCCAAGTGAAGACACAAGTGAAAGGAAGAGGGGTAAGATTCAGAAAAAAGCATCTCTTCGTAACAGGAGAGAAAAGGAAGAAACCGAGCCAGAATCAGAAAGGAATCATCAGTACAAGAAAGACATGGACCTGTTGGAAAGGGTCCAGAGGAGGACCACAGAAATATCACAGAATCACAGGATGGTTTGAGTTGGAAGGGACCTTAAAGACCATCTAGTCCCAACCCCTGTGCCATGGGCAGGGCCACCTTCCACTAGACCAGGTTGCCCAAAGCCCCGTCCAACCTGGCCTTGAACCCTTCCAGGGAGGGGGCAGCCACAGCTTCTCTGGGCAACCTGTGCCAGTGTCTCACCACCCTCACAGGAAAGTATTTCTTCCTTATATCTAATCTAAGTCTTTCCTCTTTCAGTTTAAAACTGTCACCCCTCATCCTATCCCTATACCCCTGATGAAGAGTCCCTCCCCATCTTTCCTGTAGCCGCTTTAAGTACTGGAAGGTGCTATAAGGTCTCCCTGGAGCTTTCTCTGCTCCAGCTGAACCCCCCAAACTCTCTCAGCCTGTCCTCACAGGGAAGGTGCTCCAGCCCCTGATCACCTTCATGGCCCCCTCTGGCCCAGCTCAAACAGGTCCACATCCTTCTGATATTGGGGGCCCCAGAGCTGGACACAGCACTGCAGGAGGGGTCTCATGAGAGCAGAATAGAGGGGGACAATCCCCTCCCTTGACCTGCTGGCCACACTTTTCTGGATGCAGTCCAGAGTATGGTTGGCTTTCTGGGCTGCAAGCACCCATTTCTGGCTCACAGTCAGTTTTTCATCTTGCAGTACCCTCAAGTCCTTCTCCACAGGGCTGTTCACAATCCACTCATTCCCCAACCTGTATTTGCTCTTGGGATTGCCTCGACCCATGTGCAGGACCTTCCACTTGGCCTTGTTGAACTCCATGAGGTTTGCCCGTCCCACCTCTCCAGCCTGTCCAGGTCCCTCTGGATGGCAGGTCCCTTCCCTCCAGCGTGTCACCGCACCACACAGCTTGGTGCTGTCAGCAACCCGGCTGAGGGTGCACTCGATCCCACTGTCCATGTTACTGACAAAGATGTTAAACAGCGCCGGTCCCAACACCAACTCCTGACACCACTCGTCACTGCTCTCCACTTGGACGTGGACATGGAGACCGCAACTCTGAGTGAGACCATCCAACCAATTCCTGATCCACCGACTGGTCCATCATCACATCTATGTCTCTCCAATTTAGAGACAAGGATGTCATGCAGGACAGTGTCAGATGCTTTGCACAAGTCCAAGTGGATGAGGTCAGTTGCTCTTCCCTTGTTCACCAGTGCTGTAACCCCATTATAGAAGGCCACCAAACTGATCAGGCTTGATTTGCCCCTAGTGAAGCCATGTTGGCTGTCACCAATTACCTCTTTATTTTCCATATGCCCTAGCATAGTTTCCTGGAGGATCCACCCCATGACCTTGCCATGCACAGAGATGAGACTGACTGGCCAGTAATTCCCCTACAGATCAGAGGGCTGGAGTGCCTCTCCATGAGGACAGGCTGAGAATGTTGGGGTTGTTCAGCCTGGAGAAGGCTCCGGGGGTCTTCTAGTACTTAAAGGGGGTTTATAAGAAAGACGGGGACATTTTTAGCAGGGTCTGTAGCAATAGGACAAGCTGTAACGGTTTTAAACTAAAGGAAGGAAGATATAAGGAAAAAAAAATTATGATGAAGGTGATGAAACACTGGCACAGTTTGCCCAGAGAGGTGGTAGATGCCCCATGCCTGGAAACATTCAAGGTCAGGATGGACAGAGCTCTGAGCAACCTGATCGAGTTGAAAATGTCCCTGCTCGTTGCAGGAGTTAAACTAGATGACCTTTAGAGGTCCCTTCCAATCCAAACTATTCTATGATTCTATGAAAAGAGACCTCACCGTGCTCAAGACATGCATCCCCTTGGGCATGTCACTGCACCCACCCTGCCCCCAAGGGATAGCATAGCTACCCTCAACTCCCCTCTAAGGCAGAAGGGAGCCACCTAATTCTTAATCCCATTGCCCTTTCAAGGTGTGTATGAGGGAATTAGCCCTCCAGGGGGTTGGGGGCCACCCTGGGCTCCCTCTCACCCTGAGTTAATCAGTCACTCTGCAGGGGACTGAACTTCCCCAGAGATGAATCCGGGCCAACATGCTTTCTCCAGAGTGGATGAGGACTTCTCCCATGGGGGATTACAACTGTGGTCCCAAGAGGGACTGGGGACCCCCAATGGAGAATAAAGGCCCCTCCTGTGCTTCCCTAAAGAGAGTCAAGGCTCTCTGTGCTCCCAGCAAGTGAGGCCAGGATGCTCCCTAGAAGGATCGCACCCCACATATGGGATCAGAGCACCCACAAGGAGACTGGGGACACCTACTAGGGGAATCTGAGCCAGGCCTGTACACACACACACCCCCCGCAAAGGAACTGGAGAAGACTGCAAAAAAGTTACAAGGCCTCATATGCCCTAAGAGAATCGCAGCCCCCACAGGAGGATTAGAGACCCCTACAAGGGCGTTTGGAGCCCCCCTGTGTCCCCCGCGGTGGCACTGGGGACACTCAAAACGGAGATCAGAGCCCCCACAAGGGGAGTGAGGACCCTAACTGAGGGAATCTGACGCCCGCAAGGGAACCGCCCCCTTCAAGGAGACCGGGGTTCGCTACCAGGGATGTCGGAGCCCCCCGTGCCCTCTCACGGAGGATCACCAGCCCTTCCTGAAGGGACGGCGGCCCGCCGCGCTCCCCCGCCACAGGCCCGGCCACCGCCGGGGCGAGTTTACCTCATCGCGGCACTGCTTCTGGCACATCTGACAGTACCAGCGCAGCTTCTGCAGCCCTTTGGATTTGATACGGTTGGCGATGGCCTTAGGGCTGAGGAAATCCGACTTGCCCATGGCGGCGACGCCGACCCTCGGCCACCCCCGTCCCGGCCCCGCCGGAAGTGACGTCCGGCGCCCCGGAGACACTTC